AGCTTCGATCCTGACACTCTTACAGGAAAATATTTAGCAAAAATCGGTACATCTCAATGGGATAAGGCTTATGGTGTTCGAAAACTTACACACAATTTCATGATAGGAGACTCCCCAATATTTTTTGATGATGAATATATAAAAGTAAAAACCATGAAATATGCCTGTACTGAAGGATTACTGGAACTACTGTTCATGAAAAAACCCAATGATACTTTAATTAGTGAGAGTGATATTACTGCATATAAAAATATAATTCTTGCAACTAATGGGCATCAAAAAAATTATAATCAAGTATGCAAATCGAAAAAAGTAACTTAAAATGTTTCAACGTATGCTACTTCCCATCAATGATTCCACTCAATTCGAAAATTGAAAAAATTGAAAAAAGAAATGTGTCAATCTCTTCTTTTGTATGCCTAGAATTTGTCATTTGAAATTTGAATGGCCGAATAACTTGACTAAAACATCATTCCAGGTGTTCGCGACAACCAAGCCAGACGCTCTCCTCCTCTACAACTACGGTCCCCAGTCGGGTGGACGATCCGACTTCATCGTCCTCGAGCTGATAAACGGACGGATATCCTTCTCCTACGGCGGCGCCCGCAGCGCCATAACATCCCTCCAAGTTTCCTCAGGCAAGCGCCTGGACGACGGCGACTGGAGGAAGATCACAGCCACGAGGAACGGTCGAGTGGTCTCCCTGAGCGTCTCAAACTGCCGAGAGCACGGGGACACCTGCGACGACTGCAAGCCCGGTGACGTCACGTGCTACGCAGACGACGTGGGCCCCACAGGAACCCTGAACTTCAACAACAACCCTCTCCTCCTTGGCGGCCTCATCAACGCGGATCCAGTGCTGGAGCGGCCTGGGCAGGTGCACTCCGACGACCTAGTCGGCTGCGTGCACTCGGTCTCAATAAACGGTAGAGCCCTCAATCTGTCGAGCCCCATGTCCTCCAGGGGCATCAGGAACACCTGTCCCAGGTCCGAATCAGGGGTGTGCACCAGGGAGGACTCCACCTGCGGTACTGGTGAGCGTTGCTACGATAAATGGCACCAGGTCTCCTGTCAGTGCAACTCTCTAACAGCCCCCAACTGTCACGGAGCCCTGGAGCCGGTGAACCTCAGTGACAATGGCTACGTGGAATTCAAGATTTCTGAGAAGCACAAAAGAATGCAGTTGCTGGATTACATGTATGGAGGGAGCACTCTGTGGACTAAGAGCCGAGTCACCAGAGCCACTAAGGACACGACACTCTTTCCGCTGGGGGTGACACCACCCAAGAAACTAGGCCTCATGTTCAGGACGGTTAAAGCCAACGGAATCCTCCTGTACGCAGCCACCAACAAGCACTACACGTCAATAGAGCTGAGAAATGGGCAGTTGTCGTACGCCTCGATGCTGGGGTCCTCCGTCAACATGACTGGATCCATAGAGGGAGGACTAGCCGATGGCAGATGGCACAATCTGACGATCTACGCGCACTCCAGAGGGATTAGAATCCTCATCGATGGAGTTCTAACAGGCGACGAACTGGATTCCGCTGGAGTCCACGATTTCCTGGATCCTTACCTCACGATGCTCTTCGTTGGAGGAGTGAGGAGGGACCTGTATTTCCCCGACGGCTTCCCCATCACCTTCGAGGGGTGTCTAGCGAACTTCACCATCAACAACGAGATCCAACCGTTCAACGGGTCAGGGTCGATATTCAAGGAGGTCCTGTATCATGGCAAGGTGTCGAGAGGCTGCAGAGGACCCATCGGCATCAGCGCTGCTGCGGCCGCTGATCCCCTCAGCATCGGAATCACCTTGGTCATCGTTTTCTTCGTTACTCTACTAGTAGCCATTCTCGTGAGCTTCGTTGTCTTCAGGCTGCGACGGCAGAGCAAGGAGAAGGCCCCGTCAGTAGTCAACAAGAACACGAATGCCATTATGACTGGGAACTCTCTGGTTGGAGCAGGCAATGACAGCATGATGTCGAGGCACGAGAACACCTACATCTCAGACACGTCAGAGCTGCGAGTGCACAAAGGGCCGGAGCTGATCTCAAAGAAGTATAAGGAGAGGGAGATTAATAATGAGCACAGGCCTCAGAGGCCTGACATAATCGAACGAGAGGTGACGAAAAGCCCACCGATAAGGGATGAGCATCCGCCCCTGCCCCCTCAGAGCTCCCTTCGATCGTACGACAACACAGAGCCCGATGTTCCTGAGCATTACGATCTCGATAATGCCAGCTCGATAGCCCCCAGTGACGGTGATGTCATCTATCATTACAACAACTTCAGGGAGGGAATGAGGTCGTACAAGGCGACACCACCGTTGATCGGTGGCTATGGAAATCATCACAAGCACACTGGGGGCCCTCATCGACATGCAGGGGCCTTTCCCCCGAGGGCCATGCCCCCACCTAGTGTGGGACAGTCGTCAGGACCTGCTCCCAAGCTGCTGCAGAGCACTCCTTTGGCCAGACTCTCACCGAGCAGTGAGCTGTCAGCACAGCAGCCTAGGATCCTCACTCTCCACGATATCTCTGGTAAACCTCTGCAAAGTGCTCTCTTAGCCACGACCTCGTCCTCCGGGGGAGTGGGGAAGGACGCGTTGAACTCGAATAGTGAACGGAGTTTAAATTCCCCGATCATGAGCCAGTTGTCGGGGTCGACAGCCAGCAGAAAGGCCCCCCAGTCGACCAATGAGAATGGAAATAACGTGGGCTCAGGGCCTATGGGGCTGACAGCTGAGGAGATTGAGAGACTGAACTCTAGGCCCAGAACCTCGAGTCTTGTGTCCACTCTGGATGCTGTCAGCTCCTCCAGCGAGGCCAGGGGACCTCCACCCCCACCTCACAGTGGGCTGCATCTCCACAGGAGGCATACACCGCCAACCGAGAGACTGGAGAGACGAAATTCCTCGACTACTGACGAGAGTGGCAATGACAGTTTCACTTGTTCTGAGATTGAGTATGATAATAATTCGCTAGTGGGGGACAAACGGTCGGATAATTTGTACAGCAAGCCCAGTGAGGAGCCCCAGAGGACCAGTGAGTCCCCTCAATCCACCAAGAATCCACTTCCACCTAATTACGATGGGTTTGACAGCTCCTTCAGGGGCTCGCTGAGCACTCTAGTTGCCTCGGACGATGACCTGTCGACGCACATGGGGAGTCTGTACAGACCCAGCAACAATGGGTCACCCAGTGCCAACACAGCCTTGAGCTGGGATTATTTATTAAACTGGGGACCCAACTTCGAGAGCCTTGTTGGGGTCTTTATTGATATCGCTGAACTACCTGACAGTGCTAACAGGGTGCCTAATAGTCTGAGACTCCCTGCTAACATCCCTAAACCTTCTGAAGAGTATGTTTAGGATGGTTCTCTTGCCATTAACAGTTGTGTATTTTTTTTAGGGGAGTTGTCGAGGGAGGAGGTAGTTTAATAGGTAGTTAAGAATTGGGGGAGACATCTCGTATCAGGATGTCGAGAATATTTTTGTACAGTGTAGGTATGAGATTATGTGGAATTTTTGTCTTCCCAAGAAGCACTGATACTGTGCCATTTTTTCTTTGTACGGGGAGGTGTCTCAATTTGGAATGCTTCAGGAGTGACAAACTGATTTCATTTAATGAGAGGTCAAGGGAAAAATTGAGGGCTCAACAGGAATCAGTGAAACTTTTTTGTTACTGAGTATTTTAAGAGCGAAGTGGTAAAACGATTGAAGTAGACTCAGCCCTTCGCGACTAGTTTAATGCATTCTAATTTTATTTATTCTGGTTTTTTGGGAGAATTATTGATTGGGTTCCAAATTTAGACAGCTCCCTCTCATCTGGAAAGACGTGTTTTTATGGGGAAATGATGAATTATTGTACATAGCGTAATATTTCGTTGAGCCATCAAATGGGGAGACAATTCAATCCTGAGACTGATTTTTTTCTTTTCTTCATACAACTGCCATGAAGTTACACTGAAGGGAGTCTCGAGTGTGTACATTTTTTTCTGGACATTGTAAATAATTTTTTAATGACTATTATTGATTAAATAGGAAATGAGTGGATGTTACTGCCTCTGTATAAAAAGATGCGAGTGTTATTGTATGAGAATGTAGGCGTCATTTTCGATGATTTGTAATAAAATTTATAATTAAAATTCTGCGAGTTGTCATTTAAATACCTCGGCATTTTTATTCATTGAAATATTGTTGAGTACAAAATGGCTTATTTAAGTACTGAGATGATTTATGTATAAATGTGGGTATCAAAATTGAATTGCGAAACTGGCTGGGTTTCTTTCCATCTGAGTAAGTTGTTTCATCCAATACTTTTGTACTTTGTATTAGATATGAGGATGAATAATCGCAATTAAAAAATATACTATCGAGTATTATTTCAGTCGAAGCTATTACTGGATACAATGTCTAAGGTAATGGCTCAGTCTATTATATCTTTGGAGTCATGGATAATCCCTCGAAAATTTAAATTAAATGGATTCAGTGGTGAAGTCATGAAACAAGATGATTCATGTTCTCATTCACGTCATCATGTGTTATAGCTCAAATCTGATCACTGAATCCTCAATATTCAAGTATTCTCAATATTCAGTTATTAACGTGTTGAACCAAAAGTCGAGTTTGTCAGATCATATTTATTGAAAACCCGTTGGAAGTCAGATTGATTCATCTTGTTTAATCACTTGATCACAAATGAATCATGGCTATAGGATAATTCTGTAGAAATTCCTATAAACGACCCTATGGAGAATTTGTAAATGGCATTTTACTGGAGAATGGCATTTTACGCTATCGAATTCGTCTCAGGGGGAAATTTTACTGAAAATACAATGGAATTTTAAATTTTTATTCCCTAGCTTCTGACAAAATAATCACAGGATATGTTCAAATCCTCCATAGGATCGTCCTACAGATAGTTTCATCCAACAACCTATCGCCATTTTTTAAAATTAATACATGCTTCCTCACATTCATTCATTTTACCAATTATCCAAGAATTCAAATCCAGTCTTTGGAATTCCCTCATCCTGATTAGTCTGCGCAGACTGGAAGCTACTGTAGGAGCTAGGAGTCTCTAAGAGAGCGGTGGACTCAGTAATGTCCCCAGACTTTGGCCTCGAGCCAGACGATAGATTGATATTCATCTGGACTTTGTTTCCCCCGACGGTTTTTTGGGCACCTCTCATAGCACTCCTCGGCGGCACCAGGCTCTCCATTTCGTCGTCAGGGCTGTTTCCCATCTTCAGAAATGAGGTTTTGCTCATCATCTTGGTGAAGATATTGTCGTTCGGTTGGCTGGCGGATCTGCTGGGGTCGGGGTTCTTGAAGACACTGTCGGAGTAGCTCTCCGACTGGTAGAAACTCGTGGGGTTCGACGATGTTGTGTACTCGTTGAGAGAACTCTCGAAACTACTTTCTTCGAGCTGAATGGGACTCGTGAAGTGGGGAGAGTCGTCGCTGTAGTTGCCGGAGGACTTGAGACGGGGATTCTCGGGGGCGGCGAAGAGAGAGAGGTCCATTTGGGAGCGGGTCATGAAACTGAAGGGTCCAGAGTGCTCGTCTTTCCATCGGAGAGTCTGAAATTAGTGGCAAAATTCCACATATGCCAATAGTTTGCCGACATCGGTACAATCATCAATTAAATATTCAAATGCCCCATTAATTTATCAATCAATAATTGACTTTGGAAGATTGACGATTAGATGGTTCATCGAAGAAACCGTTTTATGAAATTTAGAATTTTTTACTCAATAGTCAATCGTTCCGGACCTTAATTCTTGAAAAGAAATTATTCATAAATGAATAAATTTACAAAATTATAATGAATCATAATAAATGAATAACTAAATACATAATAATAATGAAAATAACCAATGATGATTTTTTTTCTTCACAAAAAAATTATGAAAACGAAATGTTAATTCATGTTTGTCGAGATAATCAAATTTCCCCTCAAATGTAAACACAGTAAAAGTGAGTATCAACTCCTTTTTTAATAAATGAAGAAATTCATAGTCTACAACTCACCGATCCAGTTTCATCAATAACATGCCTCAGCCCCGTCTGAATCCTGAGTCTCGGATACCACTCCGGCATGTCCTTCCCCAGCTCCCCAACCCCCACCGCATACTGCAGCGCGATTTCCGGTTGAATGATGGTCTCATCAATCGCCTGATTTTTCTCCTTCAAGCTGAGTGTGCCCCACAGCCCCTCGTACGCCTCCTTCGTCGCCTCGATGTCATCGGCGATCCTCCGGGCCAGGGGATTCAAATTGTGGAAGTAATCTTCAGCCACTGAACTCAGCGACTTACAATTATTGGTCATATTTAAACACGAGAGATGCACCACTCTTTGGCTATGGAAATTTCACGACAAAGTGAGATACGTAAACATATTTGCGGATAGGTGATAACTAGAATGACTAATTGAGGGAAACACTCCAGGTGACAGGAGACATTCGTTGACAGGGCGTGCGTGCATTCCGTGTGGTGCCGGGGGGAGTGGGGAGAGGCCAGAATGCTTTACCCTCAGCTGATAATGCATTCTTCCCGGAAATGAGCTTCACGGAGCGAGGGAGTTTCATGGCTTCTCCACGAAGAAATATGGGAACCGGCCTTTATGGGCCAGATGCCACTGTTGATACTGCATCTAGTGGCTTCACACGATTAAGGACACACAAGAAACATGCACGCCAGTGGTGTTTTGCATTCCGGTGTCAACAATAAGCCCTCGGTTTTCGTTTCCAGGGAAACATTTACTGGGAAACGATGTCGAGGAAGAAACACAATATATCTTACATAAAACCGGAAGAGCCCAAGTTTCTGAGGGAACTCAAAGCTGCTGCTGGGTATAAGGAGGGTCCTGATGTGGATACTAAGGTAGTGTTATTGTTGAGTTATAAAGTTTTGGTTTTCAGGGATGTCACTGGTTTTGGGATTTATTTTTGATTATTGGGGATTCCAATAAAAATTCATTCGTTGGGACATTTTCTGTAGAAATTCCTCGGAATGCATTTTCCTTGTTTTTACAATGCATTTTTTAAAAATGAAAAGATTATAGCCAAGGAAAAATACTATTTCGATAGATACAGTTCGAAAGGAATAACTTGTATAAACAAATTAAGTTCTGTTGGTTTCGTCCATTCATTCTCCATCGAATATCATTTAAAAAACGAATGGGATGTCTGGAAAATTTCAACAGAATTTCTCATTACATTCTTTCGTTTTGTTCTATTTTCAATAATGTTTTCATTATGTCCGGTGCCTTTTGTATATTTTCTATAATCTACTTTCTGTATTTTCTCATGGCCCCGAGGGATTTCGCCCTGGAGCGATGCTATCCTTTTTCAATAAACAATAATAATAATAAGCATTAATTTCATCGAATCGTTCAGAGAGAACTTCCAAACATTTCCGACGACGAAGATGACAATTTCGACGGTGAAAAACCGATAGTTGTCGTGTTGAAACAGGGAGATATGACCGCCGAGGAGGCTGACGATTTCGAAAAGAAGAAAAAAGCAGGTGAGGGAGGGTGGGGTAAAATAGGCACTTTTGCCCCTTTTGAAATGTTGATGAAAGGGAATCGTTTTCTAAATTTAAAACGGAAAGCCTAAGCCCTTTGTGTGCAATCACCCAATCCATCGAAAAATCCATTAATTTCAGAGGAAGAAAATGCACCGGCAGACCTCTCGAAACGAATAATCTTCGAGTCGAAACGAAAATCAAAATCCCAGGGTGAGGATCAAGACTCCAAGAACGACTCCAAAAACAAGAAGAGTAAAAAATCTAAGCAGACTAAATCAGTCCTCTCATTCGACCAAGAGGAAGACGAATGAAGAAATAACCAATTTCAATCTCATAATAATTATATTAGACCACAGGACATTGGAAAATGAGTATCTTATTGGATTGTACAGGGACTATATTGTAAAACTCGTCCAGAGCCTCAGAAAACTTAAATAAATATTAACCAAAACGTTGTGTGATGATTTTCCAATTTCCCATGATCTAATATAATTGAAAAAACATGGAAATTAACTATAATATCGAAGCCTCACAATATTTTGTACATACAATTGTCTTCAAACACATAATTCCTTGTTACCAATAAAAAGAATGACTAAAAAAACTGTTAACATCGACTTTTCAATAAAAAAAAGCCCTTCGAGGCCAAAAAAACCCCAATTCTCCTCCCCCTCACCCCAAAAACCCCCCGAAATGTCGGCAAGCCCGAAAAATCATCCCCTAAATCCCGAAAAAAATCAATAATCCCATCCCCCGAAAAAAAAATCACAAAACCATAATAATAGTCCCCGCAGACACCTCTAGGGGTCCCCCTTCGCCGCCACTCTTCTGGAATACGTCACAAAATTTTCGCGGTCACGTGATTACAGTGGGTAAAACGGCCATCTTGGCAGTTTTCGACGGCACAGAGGTAAGGAGAGTATATCAGTGACGTCGAGCGCCAAATAAACACAATTGAATCCCCAATGATCCTAGTTCACCACCGATTAATTACCCCAGAACCAGTTATCAACAGATGTTTATCGTAAAATAAGTGACCGAAACAGTGTTAAATTCCGAGAAAGCCATTAATTTTGAATAAACCCGCGGCATTAAAAGTCATAAGCCTCGAAGCGTGTGTGAGTTGTGGCCCAGTAGACGTTGAGAGTTATCGGTGCGCCTCCTTCGGGGTGATAAATCCGTCTGCAGGTCCACCCAGAGTCTGACCCACAGCAGCTGTTCGAGACTGTAAGACAATCCAAATATCTCTATTTTCCGTAGTGAATAACCCCTGAATTTACTCGATTACCGAATGGCGGGATTTATCTGCATTTATTTACATCGTTCTATTTAAAAGAGCCGAATAACCACGTGCGCTCACGAGGGCACGAGACAATTCCCACTACAGAGAATAAAACTATAAGGCGAGGGAATTATCGGGGAGGGAAAAAAGTGAGGATGATTGTTGGGGCAGGAGGAAGAGGATGGCTTATTGAATATGTCATTTGTGCAATTGCTGGGCATCGAATAACACAATATACCCAGGGGCGTACGGTGGGAGAGACTCCCCTCGAGCTTCATTCGTTAAACATCCCTCTGAATGTTATTGAATAATTACTGAATAATCATCAAATGGTGGAGGGTGATTACCCAATTATTTTTCTCATTTTTGTCATTGTTACTAAGAAGATTAGAGAAGAAAAATCGCGACTTCTCCGGCGTTTGTTAATTAATTTAGTGTTTAATGGGTTTTTCTGCTTTTTTTAATTTTTTTACATTTTTTTTGACAATTTTTTCAAAGAAATCGATGGTCGTTCAGGCTGTTGGCAAAGGGCAAGGGTGGAATATTTAGACCGAAAGGTCATTCGTTAAACTTATGTCTCCCGTCATTAACGAAGTAATTAGGAAAGAGAATTAATCGATCAATTGTAAGTAGTTTTCCTGGCGTTATTGGAAAGCAATGAAATAAGTTAGTTGCTGACGCTGCCAGGGCATTGTACATAAATGACGACATCCTCTCGCTCTCTCCCCCCCTTTTTCCATCATTCTCTCTCCGGCTTGTCTCTCCCCCCACTGCCGACAGTCTGCCGTCTGCCGTTACCATCCCCCGCGGGATGAAAACCTCGATGGCCCCACTGGCGGGTACTTTTCAACACGGCCCTGGTGTGCATACTTCTTTTTTAACCGAAACTATCGCCATCTCGTGGTTAATTTTCAACGAAATCTAATGTGCACTATTTTTGTGGAATGAAAAATTTAGAATTGTCGGGGTTATTATGCGGATTTTGGGTTTAGTGGAGGCTTGTGGGGGAAATTGAAAGCCCGCGTGGTTCTGAGAGTTCCCGCGCAAACGAAAATTTGAATTTTTGAAGTTTCAAGTTGACTGGGAAAAGGGAAGAAAACTTGTCGGTGGCTTTGCTTTTGAGGATTTCCAGCTTTAATAGCAACAAATGAGCATTGTCGAGGCAATCTCAACGATTTAGGTGGAGAGAGCGCTCCCCCGGCCTAAACCACCATTACAAAAAAGTAATAAGGTGAAAGGCGACTAAAAACGCCCGAAGATATCCCGCTTGAGTTCGTCCCGATGCAACGAATTCAATTTCCTAGGTGAAGAACGCTGAGTTGAAAATGCCCGGTGGACATTTCCAGCTCCAAGATTTTTCGGGTTACTGGAGAATAAAAAAATTAAAATTCTGGGGACTTCCGCGGAGTCTCAACCCCGGAGAAGCCCCTCCGCAAACATCATTCGTTCCCAAAATAATCTGAGGAATTTAAAAATTCTCTGCATCTTTTCTCCTAAAAATCGAATTCGAAAAAAACGTTGTTCATTTGCTTTGAAGAAATGTCCCTCGGCTTCTTAAAATTGAAAGAATGAAGAGACCAATTGTTTTATATTTGTCAATATTTGATCGCGGAAGGTGTTCTCCATCAAAACAGTTACTCATTCTTTGTTCAATTGCTTTAAAGAATTGTCAATTTCTCTGTCCATTGAATTGAAAATTTCCGAGGCCATTTAAATCTCCGCAATTATTTCTATTACTATATAATAAAAAACCCGAATATCCGAAGACATTCCCAGAGTCTTAATCCAGGAGAAATCAATAAATGATTTAACGAATTCCTAAAGCAATTGACTTGGATTTCAAAAACCTCTCGATGAAAATCCTCACGAATTCTTCCCGGCCATAGTCATTCAAGGAAAATTAAAAAGCCCCTCAAAAAAACAAAGACACTTTTTTGAAATTCGTGAACCTTCGAGCCCTGAAGGTGTGAAGGCTCCATCAGAGCATTTATTCATTCTTCCTTCAATTCCTTCGCAGAAATATCCATCCCTCCCCCAGCCATTGGATTGAAACTGTCCCCCGGACATTTCCATCCCGGTAATTTTTCCCCCCACTGTGAACTAAAAACCCCAAAATTCCGAGGGCACCCCCAGCGTCTCAGCCCGAAGGGCCTCCCCAAAAGCGCTTTCCAAACCAATCGGAGAAACTGAAAAACCTCGGAACCCCTCTCCCCAAACTCCCCTGGAACCATTAACTTCCCATTACCCGGAGTACATCGGGTGCAGGTGACTGACTGACTGACCGAGCGACGCCACACAAAACCTCCTAAGCGCAAGCCAAGAGAGACCGAGCGAGAGAGCGAGGAGAGGCACGAGAGAGACTCCGGGGAGAGCCAATAGGTCTGTCCTTATCTTTCGCGCGCGACCCGAGAGACTGCTGTTCTCTTGGATCTCCCCCCGTCCGTGTCGTAGAAGCGTGCACACGCAGGAGGCACCTCTTTGGCGTCTCCTCAACTTCCTGGATTATTTTCACCCACACTGAGACCCCTAGAGTGTCCAAAAGCCCTCGGAAAGCCTCCAACAGCCCCCCAACCACCTGAAACAGTGAAATCTCTGTCGTGTGAATTCCAATCAGCCCTGAACGTCGAATCGGGGTTACGGTTTTTATTGGTTATGGGACGTTGAGGGAGATCCCGAAGTGCTCAACTCAGCTCCGTGTCCATGTGTACGTGTATGTGTGTGGAATTCGCAGCGCCATTTTGAAAAATTCTGCCTATTATTTCCGTCCCGTGGAGAAGTTGTCCGAAGGGTAATATCGAATTGTAATTATTCACCTAATATTAATGAACCTGGTACACACTGGATAATCATGAGGCATGTGTCCCACTGTCTGAAAATATCCCCAAACAACGAAAACACTGAGAGGATATGTACACGATAGATGCTGCAGTTGCCAGTGAATCAAGTGAAGTTGTAACTGTGAATTTTGTGTCTAGGGTAAATCGAACAGCAGCGGTGGACCGATGGAAGGCACGTTGGAAGATCCACTGGTCAAGGAGCCATCCCACGAGAATCCTGACATTGTGAAAGGTATTGACCCTGTGACTGAGCCATTTACCCGCCAGTCAATGATTTGTCAATGTCCTTCGTGTTAATGTGTGCTTTTCTCGATTAATTTCAGATGCAGTTATTCCCAATGGCGTCAATGGTGACTGCACTGCTGATGCGGAGCATCACGAGGACGAGCAGGAGGACAAAACACTCGAGGGAATGGAGGTTGAAGAGTCCCCGAGTGGGGAGGGGAATCCCGATGGCCACGAGGATGACGAGGAGATTGATGCTCCTGACAACACCAGCCTAGTGGACACAACTGAGGCCAACGACAATGACGTTGATAATACCGAGGGTGTGAGTGATGATAACAATATTAGTGAAGTGAAAGAAACTGAAAAAAATGAAGATAATTGTGATGAATCAATGGATGTTGATCGTCAGAGCAGTACATCGGACATTGAGTGTCTTGATGAGGGGTTGGGGGATAACGTTAAGACTATTGATCTTCACGAGATTGATGATGTCAACGAGATTATCGATGACACTAAGAATGACGAGGATCCACTCAATGCCAGTGTCGAGACAATATCGAGTGTTGATAATTCGGATTTGAAAATTGTGGAGGAGAATGGAAGTGTTGGGAGTATTGGTAGTCCCGATATTGAGGAGATCACTGAGGGAAAGAGCAATGGGCACAACACCAGTGGTGAACGTTCACCCAATGCACCCAAGAAGAAGCCAAGAGCGAAGATTGATTTGAGTAACATAACACCGAGGAGGAGCTCGAGGAACATTAAACGAACTAGTTACATTGAGAAGGAGCCTGATGAGCCTGAGGACGATGGCTCGGACATCGAGGAGATCAAGCCTGAGGACCCTCTTGCCTGCGTTGTCGATGGCAAGGACAAGGAGAACAGCAAGCTCAAGTCACCTTTGAAGTCCAGCAAAACTACTATTGTTGTCAATGACACTAAACGTCTGGTGGAAATTGCTGCTGGAAGCAAGTGCACCAAAGGTGGCAAGAAGGAGCCAACACTCGTCATTATTGACACCAATTCCATTCTCTCTGGACGTGGGGGTGTACCAGTGAGCAGTAAATCACACTCATCGAGCTCGAGTGCATTCTCGGTTATGCCTGTCAATCTCTCTGGCTCCACGACAATGTACCCCAACATGAGAACAACGATAACACCTGTACCAATGACGTCCAAGTCGACACCACAGTTGAGCCCCAAATTGGGGAGCAGCATGACAGCAGTGCCAACACCACCACCACCAGCACCACAAATCCTGCCAACTCTCACTGACGATATGTTTGTGGTGGAGGCACCGTCGTTCATCGTTCCCTATGTCTATGAGAAACCTCCACTCAAGCCGCTGAAGGAATTTGTCACGAAATTGGAGAAGTGCATCAAGGAGAGGGATCGGGAGGATCGAGAGAGGGAGGAGAAGGAGAGGGAGGAGAAGAAACTTAGTAAGGATAAGGACAAGGACGACTCGTCTGAGCAGAATGACAGCGACAATGACGAGGATATTCTGGAGAAGAAGGAGGAGTCGGAGCTTGATGTTGCACCAAAATTTACCGACGACAGGGAGAAGGGGGAGGAGAGGAATAAAGTACAAACGTACTTTGATTTGCCACTAGGAAAATTCTTCATGCAGATTGGGGTTAATCTTGTTCAGGAATTCGTACAAACTGATTTGTTGAGACAGCAGAAGCATAAGCAGAGAAAGGGGGGACAGGCGTCTGCTGAGACACAAATAGCGATTAATTCATTGATTAAAAATCTAGAATTTAGTAAAGAGAATAATGAACCATTCCACTTAGAAATGAAAAAGTGTGAATTTTGTAGCTTTAAAACTGAATCATCACTCGTTATGCAGCATCATCTTGAGACACCCCATATGCGTAATTACGTGTACAAGTGTAATTTTTGCCCACTGGAGGTGCGCAGCCCTCATGATATACTTTTTCATATGGAGGCTGAGCATAATACGCGCGCGAAACTCGAGAGGGGTCCTGCTTTTCATCAGTGTCCCAATTGTCCGTTTGAGGACAATCAGAAGGGCAAGTTGACGAGGCACATTCTCACTTGTGCCAAGAAATTCAGGCCTGAGAGGAATCTCGAGCCCTCTGGGGACTGGGAACCACCAGCCAAGATACCGAGATTGAATCGTCCACGTCCAGTGGGCCCTCTCAATACCAATGCCATTGCTATGGCCATGGGGGCCAAGGGGCCTCAGCCACTGCTGCCCAAGTTGCTGCCAGCGCCCATGGCTGGACGCGGACGGGGGAGACCGCCCATGCAGCCTAGGTACACTGATATGAAGGCGCTGAGACCTGGTGGGACACCTGTTCGGCAAGGTAAATTTTTAAGTGTAAAAACATTTCACAAATCAACCTGGAAAATTTGGTAGCATTTTCTAGAGGAGTTTATAGTCATGTTTTCATTCATTCTTCAATGATTCTATTGGAAAATTCTGCAGCTTATCTGAGCAGGAAAATTTTCTGGAGGAAAAATCCGTAGAACTTTTTTTATAGAAATTCCTCAGCTCAAATTTTCCAATTTTTTCTTTGATTTTCCAAAGGAATTAGTGTAAAAAATCTCTCAAGAAAAGAAGTTGTATAGAAAGTATTAAAATTTATTATTTGTATGAAATACTATTGGATTGTTCAATAGAATCGACCAAAAGTAATGAAGTTTTCATGTGTATTATTTTTGTTTTAAGAACTCAGCCAATGTTTTTTCTACAGAGACTACAGAGAGCATTTCTCAATGATTTACCTTGAATTGATTTCTGCAAGAGTATTTTCTTAGAATTGTTACCTTTTATTTCTTCATTACTCATGTTTACTAACAAAAAGGGAAATGACGATTCAACGGTGTAACTACCCAATATTACTCAATTCCCAAATAATTAATTCGCATTTTCTCGTTTCTCTTTAGATAATGTCGCTGGGATGATGTATCGTCCAACGTCCTCAGGGCTCCTAGTGCCAACATCGTATCAATTTGGCAGTAACCAAATATTCCAGGTAATCTCACCCCCATCTTCACTGTTACAAATCCTACCTCTTATATCTTTCACTTGCGCTTTATTACACGGACAATTACCTCTCTTATTATTCACTCGATAATGAATATGAGTAGATATTGATGAACATGGTTCAGTATCCACGGGGAAATGGGAATTTCGAACAGCGAGAACAAGTAAAAATAAAAGTAATGATAGAGTTTTGATAACGGAATATGTGGGTGGTGGACAGGTGGTGGGTGGCTCTGGGACTTTCACGTCACCAGTAACCGGGGTGAGTAGCAGTAGCTGCGGTAGTTCCGGTCGACCCACACCCATCGCCCTTGTATCCAACCTAATTGACTCTCAATCTAGATTGTCCTCGTCACAGGTAAATAATTGTCCGGGAGGTACTTCGGGGAATTTATTCTCTTGTCATTAATTTTTAATCATTCATCGTTGTTTGGGCATGGGCTACAAACGTGCACTCGGAGATAATCCGGAATTAGTTGAATCAAATAACAAATTCGTGTTATGACGATAAGTGGGTTACATGGACGACGTGACACACTTTGACTTCATGGAAATTCATTGATTTTTCTATGGTACACACGAGAGATTAATGACTTCAATTATTTCAGGATTAAATATTCTTTGCAGTCCTAATTTACTGATCATTCGCTTGGCTGTTACTAACTGACATTCGAATTATGCCTCGTTCTTATGACATTTCTTGGCCTTTTTGGGGACGTGAGGGCTTATACGGAATAACGCATGTAAATGTTTTTTTTATAGGTTTTTCAAGAAGAAATCGTACCGATGGAGATCAATTATAGAATTAACTTGGTAATGAGGGTTTTTTTTAGAGTTGAACCGGTTTATTATTCCATTACCAAAGTGGTTATCGAATCATTTTGGATATGGACTGTTGGGAATTTATCATATTTCAGTTGAAGTTGAAGATGCATTTGAATTGTCAATGTTGTAAACTTCGATTCAATTTGAGACCAAATCGTTGATGAAATTTTTTTTTAGAAACAATGGAATGAAATTAAATTCAATCCTCCACAAAAAAAATCATTGAGATTTTCCCCCCAAACAATTTGTTCTTTAGATACATAAATACTTAAACAATTCCCTTATTTGACTGGAACTCTTCTATTATTCCATCGTCGAAATATCGTCGAAATCATCTTGCCTCCTTTATTATCCTGAGATTTTTAGCATCATTGAGGAGAGTTAATCGTGGATATTTGGAACTTTCAGAATACATCAATAACGGCGTCGAAGAATCCAGCGGCGAAGTTGTTGAGCCAACCGAGTATATCGATAACCCCATTGCCACGTACCACGACTCAAGCGCCAATCTCTGGGTCAGGTTCTTCGTCCAAGCCCGGGGGTAAAAATTCATTTGTCATATGCGAAATATGTGACGGATACATAAAGGTAAGAGCACAAAATCAAATTCTTCGGTGTTTATTCAATCCGGATCCCAATTATTACTAATTATTACTCTTGATGAATAGGACTTGGAACAACTTCGCAATCACATGCAGTGGATCCACAAAGTCAAGATACATCCAAAGATGATCTACAACAGACCTCCACTCAACTGCCAGAAGTGTCAGTTCCGATTCTTCACGGATCAAGTATGTAGAATTATTTTTTTTGCTATTGAAGAAATGATGAAGATATTATTTGATTTTTGTTTGTTTGTCTGATTGAAGGGATTGGAAAGACATTTACTGGGATCTCATGGACTCGTTACGTCCAGTATGCAGGAGGCTGCGAACAAGGGGAAGGATGCTGGTCGTTGTCCAGCATGCGGCAGGGTGAGACAATTGATCAAATTTACTATTTCACTATTGCCCCGTTTTCCCCGTTTTTATGAATATCCCCATAAATTGAACACGATAAAAATTTCCGAACTTCGGCATAAAAAATTCAGACGGAATTTTTTAACAGTGTAATATCTAAACCTCTAAAAATTGCAGGTGTATCAATGGAAACTACTGAACCACGTGGCGCGAGATCACGGAATGACCCTGAAGCCAGCCCATCTCTCCTACAAATGTACAGTATGCACTGCCACATTCGGAATGTACAAGCAATTCGAGAATCACGTATACTCAGCCCATAGTGTGGTTGCTAAACGCGTAATGGACAAGAAGAGTACCCCATCATCACCCTCATCGAGATCAAACGATTCCCTACTGAAGCCACTGAAAATAAACGACGAAATAACGATTATTCCCCAACCAGCTAAGCCAACAACTAGATCGGGTAACACACAAGGCAGAAGCAAATAGCAAACGTCTGACGAGTGATACGTGTGTCTATTCTCAATGAATCTTCGTGAATATACCTAATCAGGTACACAATCAACTGATACGACGATAAATAAAATCGTAAGAGTTGTTCGCTGTTGGAACAGAACTCTTGATTCGTCAGACAGTCTGTTCCACCTCATGAGAACACGAGTAACTGTGAGTGTATGCATAATACATTAATGTCCATGTTACACTCCACTGAAACTTCAATTCTCCCAAAACAATAGAATATTAACAGAAATAAAAATAAATAAAAAATTGACGAAACACAAATTGAACAGATACACAACTCGATGAATAAAATAAATAACATACTAGTTGACTGCGTAATAATATTCCATCGACGATTATACCGATATATTTATTTAAGAATTTTTATTGTTGTTATCGGACATACATTAATGAAAGAAAAAAAAATAGACTGTAAAAAAATAATGATTATTAAAGAAAAATGGGTGGCCTTCAGTATGACTCCTTTGGTTGATCCTGAAGACTCGTATTCCCGATATGAAGAATTAATGAAACACTTATTAAATATATGAGGAATAATGTGAAACATCGCCTACACCGATTAGCCGTAAAAATTTCATTATTAAAATGTGGAAAGGAAAACTTTAAGTTGTGTGTTTGGATTTTGAATTTCTCACTGTGTGAAAATTACTCGTGCGATTTCAAGGAAAATGAGTAATAAATAATTGGAGAGTAGTGTTTATATATATATATTTTATAAAGTTTCCAGGGAAGTTTAAATGTGCGACTTCATCATTGTTTCTGTCCTTGAATTCTTCTTTTGGCGTTGGAAACGCCAATTTGGATGTGTATTCAGATTTATTGATTTTTTACACACACAGGGCTCCAGCAGCACGCGATTGATTTTTTTTAATGATGAGAGGTGAAGATAAAGTCATTTGATAGATTTTAAATTTAATTCTGAATGTGCACATTTGATTATAACAATGAATTTTGAAAAGAACATTGTTGTCTATTAATTTAAATAAATTCAACTGATACTCCTGACGAATATTTTTCTAACGAATCATTGGGGAATCTTTCACTTTCATTCACGCTTCATTATCATTCTTCATCGTATAAATAGAAAATAAAAGGAATAGAGTAATGAAAAAAAGCATTGTAGAACTGTGTGTATGGAATTTAATTTAAATAATACGATGTAAACGTCGTCAAGGGGGTAATCGGATAAACAAGATAATGAAAAAGCTGTAAATTGTATCTATTTACTATAAGTTGGACTAATTATCAGTCCGGACATCTTGTAATAAAAAAAAATGAAAAAAAAAAATTGAAAAAAAAAATACCAACAGAAAAATAATACCGTTTTATTTTTGCGCTCTTAATAAGAACAAAAGGATGGAAAATTGTACATTAACATAGGATATGATATAAACAAAAATATATCAATAAAGTATCATAGGATGGCACGTACGCGTATTCATGCATTTTTTTTTCTTTTTGCCAAAAAGTAAAAAAAAATTTAAATACAGAATATAAACAGGAAATGATGAACTGTGGGGGAATGAAACCAGAAAGCAGGTAAACAATTTTTCTTTTACATGCAAAAACTCGAAAATAATAGGTTCATCATATAATCCCAATGTAGATAGTCGTTCGAGATGAAAAATTGCTGAGAAAAAGGAAAAAAAAACATTGATAAATGGAGAGTAACGAATTTAATTTAAATGGATAATTTCTTTATGCCTGTATGATCATTTTTGTACATTAACTGATAGGTGAATAATTAATTTTAAACGATGAAAAAGAAAATAAAGAACAACCCTGTATTCATGCGAAAGTTATTAATGAAAGGAAAAAATACTGATGCGTTTTGTCGCAACGAGTGGCTGTATTATTCGATCTCTGGCAGTGGTCAGATTATATATTTACTGATGAAAAAGATAAACTAAAAACATTGTTGGTAGTACTACTGAATAACTAGCATTCGTACAAACAACACATTACAGAAACAATGGGACAAACAAAATTGACAAATTGAAATAAATGAAATTAATATTGTTTACTGTAATTCAATTTGTACATTATAAAATGGTGATGACGTGATTGCATAAATAAAGTGTACCAACATTGTATTTAACATAATTTTATTAATACAAATTACCGAGTGTAGGTTGCGGAATTGCGGTTTACAATTTATTCAATTTTGAGGACTTCGGAGGTGGAGAATTCGTCAGTGAAGTGTGTAGATTTAATTTTAATATTCTATTCAATTAAACATCATGGGGTGGTTCATTCTTCACATGAATTTCTAATTATTAGGCGGTTATCCGCATTGATTCAATGAGCATCCCAATTTTTTGTTTTTCAATTGTTCGAAGAAAACATGACAAAAGGCTTTTTATTGAATAAACATTCATCTGTATTAATTATATGAATATCCAAATGTTAATTCTCCAATAATCAGAGGGATTTCAATGTAAAATGTCGAGAGAGATCTTAGAAAATTAATAAATGTTTGGACCCCTTCACTGTCGAATTCAGCTACAAATTCAATAATTTAATATTCGAAATGAAAATCAAAATAGGATTGATCAAACGTGTTGATTCTCACGTAACCGTCCTCACCACCGCTGGAGAAGCTTCGGCCATTGGGATGGAAGGCGAGAGAGTTGATGGGTCCGAAGTGCCCCTTGAGCCTGGCGAATTCCTCCTCGAAGACCAGATGGAAGAAACGGGCATCGAATTTCCCTTGGCGAGCAGAGGTGGTGGTGACATCCATGGCATCTTGACCTCCTCCAAGAACCACGTGGTCGAAAATCGGGGATATCGTGGCGGAGTTTACTGGACGCTCTGTTTTGTACGTTTTCAGGTGGACGAGCTGCTCGCTGTCGAATAGCTTGGCCGTGTGGTCTTTCGATGCTGTTACGAACATTGTTCCGTCTTTGTTGAACTGCATGTCGTTTATTTGGGATCTGTGGCCCTTGGCGCTCGTCAATATCTTTCCAGTCTAGCGAGAGAATTAAGTAAAATAGTCGAACGTTCAGAAATTATTTTTCATTCTCAGGAAAGTGGCACTGATGTCCAGGGACATGTCACCGAATTTTAGGAATATATAGCTAATTGTTGGTAATTGACTTTTTTTCGATTGATGATGACTTACCCTGACGTCCCAGATGTTGATTTCCCCATCCTCATGTCCAGTGATGATGGTCTCATCGAGAGCACCCCAGAGAATGGCTGAGATACGTGGTCCATTGATTGGAATCCTGCGGATGGCGTCCTCCTGGGAGAGAACTGGGTCAACAGTCCTTGTGTCGATGATGAACATCTCGCACTGGTGTCCAAGGGCTTTGTCAGTGGAGTAGACAGCTGTGTTTGCGGAGTAGCTGAATTGACAGGTTCTCACGGAGCTGTTGGTGGGCAGCTGACCAATTTCCCTGCCTTATGTACAATGAAAACAAGATAATGATCAGATGAGTAATGAGAAAAGTAACTGTTTTGTGCAGATGAGGATGGTAAGTGATGTTCTCACCAGTTTGACAATCCCAAATCCTCAAGGTGTTGTCTCCAGACCCGGACATGAAACGCGTGGTGTCCCAGTTGACGTCGATGCACCAGATTGAACCGTTGTGGCCATTGAATGTACCTAGACGCTCGCCGTTGAGGGACCACCAGACATTTGGATTTTTGTCTTTACTCGCGGAGAATATGAGGTCTCCCTCTCTGTTGTATTTGATTTTTGTTATGGCACGCTCGTGCCCGTGCAACATCAAAGGTTTCTGGAGAAGAATAAGATCGTTGAAGTAGTATTTTTGTTATTATTATATTAACTGCCTGTGGACTCCCTATGGCAGGAGGGTTCAACATTATACGGTATAAAATGAAATAAACAAATGATACAAAAAAAAAAATAATCCAGAAATGTAAAAATAATGTCTTAGGAGAAAATGAACTTTTCGAAATCTCGAAAAATGAGACAAAAATAATGAAAAGTCTATGCCCAACATGAACATTATTGTCGGTGTTGTTTTACAAAAGTTTGACTTTTGTAATGTTTTGTGATAAATAATTCTCTTGTTTAAAAAAATTAGTGAAACACAGGAATGAACCCAAAAATTGAATCAAATCATGTGAATTTTAAAGATGAAAAGGTATTGAGTATGTTGTGAACATTTTGAAGGCTCTTCTGGAATTAATGGACTATATTATTGAAGCAACGATTATTCTGGAATCGAGTAACGTCTGTTTTAGGTTATACTGTCACATGTATGCCTCGTTTCCCCAAAAATCTCACGTTTTTGTGGTAAAATTTTGGGAGATAAAGTGAGAATAATTGTTCAACTCACCATTATTACTGTGAATAACGTTCAATAACGAAAAATTATGAAAAATGTGGACTGCTGGTATGCACAAAACCACCGCAACACTTTCTGCCGTGGAAAAAGACCCTCGACTACTCTTTACGAGGTAAACGACTCACTCGATAACTTTTTGTTCGCCTGGTGATAGGGACAGTAACTAACACGAGCGAAAGTAAATGAGGATTCCAAAAAACCATAATGTGTATCTTTTATAAATTTATTTATTTACGAACGACTTTTTCGAAATAAAAAAATTGCAGCCGGGGTCTTAAACATAATGCTCTATCGAGGAGATTATTAATCAGTAGGGAATGCTGAATGGCCAGTTGGGGCTTGCCGAGACTCTGAAACAGTCAAAGAAAATTTGGACAATTGGAGAAATAAAGAATTGGCGGAATCTCTCCAATTGGATGTTTTAAATCGACAATCTCTTACTCGGACATTGGGCAGTGGCGTTCACCGATGTTGAGCGAATCAACATGCGCAATGTCTTCAGGACTCAACTTGAAATCGAAAACTTGTGAATTTTCCAGAATACGTGCTTTTGTGACTGATTTGGGAATAAGGAGGTGTCCTCGATCGATCTTAAACAGAGAATAAATCACGTAAGTTTGTAAACAACTTGTTTCACGTGAATTGCAGAATGTATGAGCAAAGTATAATGTCAATGTCATAAAATCACCTGATAACGAATTACAACTTGGGCAGGGGTTTTATTGTACTTCTTGCTGATTTCCACGAGTTTCTGGTCGTCCAGCACCTTAGGCTCATCGGGCTCGGCCCATGGTCTGCCTGGAGAGCCCAGAGGACTGTACGCTGTGATAGTAATCTCACGTTCATTGCAGAATTTCGAAAGTTCCTTTTGAGTCAAATACGGATGGACTTCGATCTAAAAGAGCGAAATATCAAGCATCATTTTTTAAATACGAAACTAGTTGACGTTTCAAGCAAATAACACGTAATTAATATTCACAATAATTCCGTTACTCGTCTGGATATGTTCCTCTCATGATGATCGAGACTTTGAATCATCGGATAGACTGTCGATTGCAGTATTGATAGACTCACCTGGTTGGTCACAGGTTTGACCTTGCAATTCTTCAGCAGCCTCTCAATCTGTTCGGAATTAAAATTACTGACTCCAATGTTCTTCGTCAGCCCCTTCTGGAGAACCCCCTCCATTCCCTTCCAGGTCTCCACGTAATCAGTGTCTGATAATTTGAAACTTCCATCGGGATTCTTGGGGATGAAATTCTCACCGTCCTCGAAAGCAAACGGCCAGTGGACGAGGTACAAATCCAAGTACTCCAGGCCCAGGTCACTGAGGGTCCTCCTGAGAGCCTTCTCCACACTGTTGGGATCGTGCGAATTGCACCAGAGTTTGCTGACGATAAAAAGCTCCTCTCGCTTGACAGTTCCATCCTCAATTTTCGCATTTATCGCCGTTCCAATTTCTTTCTCATTCCCGTATATAGGAGCACAATCGATGTGACGATAGCCTATTTCAATTGCGTATTTCACAGCCTCTGATGCTTGGTCGGGATTCGGCTATTGGAATTGGGTTGTTGCGTGAATTGATTTTATTGAATTGAATAATAAACTCCGAAAAATGGGAAAAAGAATCACGAAAAACCAAGAAACTGCAGCCAATTAAAGAAACATCTCCAGCATGGCATCACAAACTTATTTATTTTCAACTATTCATCTAAATAAGAAGATACGTGTCTCATTTTTTCCGTTCAATTTTCATATCCTACAATAAACAAAAATTGATGCAAAACCCCAATTGCGGAAAGTTTAGTGATTGAGGGATAGAAATCATCAGCTCTTCTTCTGCGTTCGTTATTCGATACAATGAATAAATTAATATGGCGGTAATGTAGATGTATTGGCTGCCCGTTTCGAGATCTTCCGAATAAGGCGTGAGATTTTAATCAAGTCGTCGAAATTTGAATGCTCAATATTACATTCATAAATGAGATGGGCATATAGAGTAAGATTTCCAAGAATTTCAGGTACTATAAATTCCGGAACTATAGCAGTGTAACTGATGGAAATAAGGGATCGACGGGAGCAATTTCCGAAAAATAAGAAATTGATTATCTCCTGTTATTTTTTTCTTCTGAATAAAACTTACTGAACACGTCCCAAGGCCGAGAACAGGAGCCTCATTACCGTTGTTGAACTTGATTTTTATTGATACTGGTTTCGGTGTCGGGAGCGTTGTTCTAACTGGCATCGTGTAGAATTTCGAGAGACCAAGAATTCAAAGTGTACGTGCAACGAGAAACTCAAACTGAGTGCTAGAATATCAACCGTAAACACCCAATTTGCCCATTTCTCGAGTGTTCGGATTGCGGTGGGGGGAGATGGGACAACAACAGAAATTTTCAATGCCACTCGACGGACCTCTCGATAGCAAACGTCTCGTAATATCCACTTGACATATTTATTCATTTCTGAGGTAAATGGGAAATCACAACATTGGTGAATACAAAAACAAAATCTTAAGTAGTGACAATAGCATTTCTTGAGGACTTCTCACTGATCAGTAAGGAATGTTGAAGGGCCAGTGGATGCTTTTCGTGGCGCTGAAAAAAATGAATAAAATTAAAACAGTAGTTGAGACGAAGTGACGCACATAGGAAAAAAAAAATAGAAAAAACTAGAGAATTTTTTGAACCACATTGAGATGAGAATTCCTCAACCTATTTGAATTTTCAAAGAAATCTAAATATTTAGTGCTGAATATTTGGGATTAATATATTCATATTTATCGTAGAGAATATTTAGCATAAAATCGCATACCCGGACATAGGACAGATACGCCACCCAATATGGAAAGTATCGATGTACGCAATGTCCTCAGAGCTCAATTGAAAATCGAAAACTTGGGAATTTTCGAGAATGCGTGTCTTTGAGAACGACTTGGGAATCACAAGGTGTCCTCGATCCAGCTGAAATCGATAAACCGCGTGTGTACATGATTGACCTTCCTTATCACTAGATTGTATATTGTATCAATAGAGCAGTGAGGCCCTCAGAAAATCACCTGATAACGAATTAAAACTTGAGCAGGAGTTTTGTTGTACTTCCTGCCTATCTCCCCGAGTTTCTGGTCCTCCAGCAGATTAGGGTCATTGGGTTTGGCCCATGGTCTGGATGGAGAGCCCAGGGGACAGTACGCTGTGACGGTAATCCCACGGTCCTTGCAGAATTTCGATAATTCCTTTTGAGTCAAATAAGGATGGACTTCGATCTAAACAAGCGAGCAACGACTTCATCACAGCCGAGTCAATATATTTTTGTTAATAAATTAGCCATTTGTTTTCGGTTGGAGTTTCTATGATGATGTATTTTAAATTCAATTCAATGATTCATGAATTCAATTTAAAATACTTAAAATATTTAAAATACTCAATTTAAATATTTGATTCAGAATTTTCTATCTAATTCACTGGGCTTTTCTATGAAATTGTTTTCTCACCTGAATTATTGATTAATGATACTTAAATAATTAAAAACTTGAAGAGTGACGTTAACTAATTGAATTGGCTACAATATTTAACGGTAATCATATTTTATGAATTTGGCTATCCCTGCCCACCTGATTGGTCACAGGTTTGACCTTGCAATTCTTCAGGAGCCGCTCAATCTGCTCCGAATTAAAATTACTGACACCAATGTTCTTCGTCAGTCCCTTTTGGAGAACCCCCTCCATCCCCTTCCAGGTCTCCAGGTAGTCGGTATCCACTAATCTGAAAGTTCCATCGGGGTTCTTGGGGGAGAACTCATCGCCATCCTCGAAGGCGAATGGCCAGTGCACCAGGTACAGGTCCAAGTACTCCAGTCCCAGATCACTCAGGGTCCTCTTGAGGGCCCTCTCCACGCTGTTAACACTGTGAGAATTGGACCAGAGCTTGCTGACGATGAAGAGGTCCTCTCGCTTGACTGTTCCATCCTCGATTTTCGCTTTTATCGCAGATCCAACTTCCTTCTCGGTGTCGTAAACGGGAGAGCCGTCGATATGACGATAGCCAATCTCTATTGCGTACTTAACGGCCTCCTCTGCCTCTCCCGGCTTCGCCTGGGGGAGATTACAGACATTGGAATTATCAATTAAAGAGGATTAGTTGCATTTTATAAGGAGTTTGATATGACGAGACGTTGATAGCTTCATTTCATAATTGGTGAGGAATATAAAGTAAAGTTTAATATCTTGTTATTTTCGTGTTTCACTAATGCTATTGAAAAATTCCGCAATTTTTTTTCTACGTTTTTTTTAACAGAATTGGTCAATAGAGGCTCATTTAGACTAAATCAATGAACTCAGGGCTTCCTGTGCAACTCATTCAATTGACATTTTTTCTGTCGGAATTCCTCAGCAAAAATTCTTCAAGTTTTTTAAAATGTATTCTTTTAAAAACGGAAATTTTGAGCCGAAGAATTTTGAACGGGCCGATCTCAATAGAATGCATTATAAAAAAACATCGAAGTCTATAGATTTTTGCAACATATTTTATATTCCACATTTTTTTGTAGATTTGGCGATAAATTAACACAAATTCCAATGGAGAATAAAAAAAAATTAACGGGATTTCTTTGTAAACGCATGAGGTTTTGTGCAAAGAATTAATGAATTTTATGAATAATTAATACTCCGTTGATCGCGCTATGAGCGCCGCGCCGCACTTTTTCCATTTTTTTAAATTACACTGCAGTAAAGCCTCAGAAAAATTTGAAAAAAAATTGATACCTCATTTTGAAGTATCTCCGGACCGTGTGCTGTGTGTAAGGCAAATTTTTAGAAAAACGTGGCAACTTTAGGCATGAATATATAATTAAGGGTAACGCGGAACGTAAAAAAATCTCCCGGGACTTCTTCAAGTCTACGATCTAGATCACTCTTGATCTTTTAAAATTATCATTATGTCAATTTATGCTGGTGCGGCGCTTACCGCGCGACCAACGGTGTTCGTAATTTTTGCGCGACCAACGGAGTGTTAATTACTATCAATGTCAGTGGTTTTTGGTTATGTAAAAGATGAAAACATGCCAAAAATTATTTAATTCACCAAATTTACCTTCCACGTGCCCAGACCGAACTGAGGTGCCTCGTTACCATTATTGAACTTTATCTTCGGTCCTATTTGTGCCATTTTATCAATGCGCCCAGCACGCAATCACTAACGACGTGAATAACCGCAGAACGTCAAGTCGACTATTGCAATATAAACGATAAACCGCGGGATTCACTCCCATACCGATTGAACGAGCAGTCAGAGTGGGGAAAAATACGTGGGGATAATGGCAAGATTGTGGGAAGGGTAAAGTCGAGCAATTAAAAATCACAACTTGCATCTTTTATGCTCATTTATTTGTGAACAGAGTGCGAAATAACAAAAGGGGAAATGTTAATTGAAAGATGATTACTCTTAGAAGACCTTACTGCTTAGAAGGGGATCTTGAAGGGCCAGTATGGGCTTGCAGTAGCTCTGAAACATTGTAATTGAACAAGAATTTACAAATCGAATACATTATACAAGATTTTTCATTGAAGAGAAAAATTCTTACTCGGACATTGGGCAGATGCGTCCACCGATGTCGAGTGAATCAATATACGCAATGTCTTCAGGACTCAACTTGAAATCGAAAACTTGTGAATTTTCCAGAATACGTGCCTTTGTGACTGACTTGGGAATGACGAGGTGTCCTCGATCGATCTTAAACAGAGATAAATCACGTAAGTTTGCAAACAACTTGTTTTACGTAAATTGCAGAATGTATGAGCAAAGTATAATGTCAATGTCATAAAATCACCTGATAACGAATTACAACTTGGGCAGGGGTTTTATTGTACTTCTTGCTCATTTCCACGAGTTTCTTGTCGTCCAGCAGCTTAGGATCATCGGGTTTGGCCCATGGTCTGTCTGGAGAGCCCAGAGGACTGTACGCTGTGATAGTAATCCCACGATCATTGCAGAATTTCGAAAGTTTCTTTTGAGTCAAATACGGATGGACTTCGATCTAAAAGAGCGAAATATCAAGCATCATTTTTTAAATACGAAACTAGTTGACGTTTCAAGCCAATAACACGTCATTAATATTCACAACAATTCCGTTATTCGTCTGGATATGTTCCTCTCACGATGATCGAGACCTTGAATCATCGGAGAGAGTGTCGAGTGCAGTATTGATAGACTCACCTGGTTGGTCACAGGTTTGACCTTGCAATTCTTCAGCAGCCTCTCAATCTGCTCCGAATTAAAATTACTGACTCCAATGTTCTTCGTCAGCCCCTTCTGGAGAACCCCCTCCATTCCCTTCCAGGTCTCCACGTAATCAGTGTCCGATAATTTGAGACTTCCATCGGGATTCTTGGGGAAGAGATCCTCACTCTCCTCGAAAGCAACTGGCCAGTGGATGAGGTACAGATCCAAGTACTCCAGGCCCAGGTCACTGAGGGTCCTCCTGAGGGCCTTCTCCACGCTGTTGGAATTGTGATAAGTGCACCAGAGCTTGCTGACGATGAAGAGCTCCTCTCGTTTGACTGTTCCATCCTCAATTTTTGCTTTCACCGCATCTCCAACTTCCTTCTCATTCTGGTACACGTGGGCACCGTCGATGTGGCGGTAGCCAATCTCTATTGCGTACTTGACGGCGTCTGTCACTTCCCCAGGCTTCGACTGTAGAATTCATTTATATTTCATAATGTTAGGAGTCCAAACAAGGTACTAACGAGCTACTAATAGGGCAAGGATAAGTGCGTGTATAGTCACAATTTTTGTTAGATCAATGAAAATAAGTGAAATGGCAGTTTTTTTCAATTCTTGAAACTTTCAGCATGCGAATACCAAGATTTTGTTATGTAATTAGCGAAATAATTAACAATGATGATTTTTATAACATAAAATTTACCTTCCACGTCCCCAGACCGAACATGGGTGCCTCATTGCCGTTGTTGAACTTGATGTTCGGAGCGATTTGTGCCATTTCAATGAATTTCCAGTATGGAAACAACTCACGACGATGCAAATGTGGATGTTGTACAACGCCAAATAAATGACTAACGCCAGTAACGCCGGGGAACAGCACTGCCGGTTGTATAGCGCCAACTCGATAGTGGGGGAAGGTACAAACGACGCAGGCGAAATAGTAGAATTCCGTGTTGAATGTTTTTAATTTGAATTGATAATCATTCACGATACAATGCCATTGTATACCGGGGATATTTGAAAATCAATATTTTCTTTCAACCGATTGCGTAATAGATTCGACAAATTACTTTTGAACTCTCTGCAACAATCGGAAATAACTAGACAAGATTTGCATGGGTTATCACTGGGTTTTTTCCGCTCGTCATCACTTAGTAAAACTCATCCGATTGAGATATTTATCAATATCAAAAATTTCGAAGTCCGAATTTCATATGCAAAGCGAAAATGAAATTTTTCTAATTTGTCTGAATTAGTCACTGAACTGCACTTTTAAATTTTTGCTGAACTTTCCGGCGGTAGATTTCTAGGCAATTTTTATTATTATAGTGGAGGAATTTCATCATTGAAAATTCAAGTCATTTTGGGGAATTTTCATTTTCCTGCTTCTCAAAAATTTAGAATTTCGTGAAAACTAAATTTTCAGTGAAATCTTAAATATGATGATTTTATCACCCTCATTCGAATTTAATATAACTCTCTTGAAAGTTATTACTACGTTGTATCGCTCGTTGTTTTCCATTTCTGATTGAAAAAATTCAAGAGTGGGTAGAAAAATCAAAATAGTTGAGGATCGGTGATATCAAGGTGAAGGGTGTACAGTTATTTTCAACATCCTTTGATTCCAACGAAATCAACGAGAAAGTATTAAATTGGTGGAATTCACTTTGAAGAATAAAAAATATAGACTGCATCAATTCCTGTGATAATCGGCCTTCTCATCAGCAGGGTTGGGCGTATAAATTACCTTGGTAAATTACACAGTTTTTTACCGACGTAATTTACGTAAATTACCTCGACGGATTTTTGACATTTTTTACAAACAAATCGAATTTTTCACTAGAATTCTAATAGAATTTGTAATGGGAAAGTGATAGGGATTATTCTATTCGATTATTCCAGGAAATGAATTCCATAAACTATAAATATTCCCGTACTTTATTTCTGTTATGTCATCAGAGTATTCACGTTGAATGTTATTGATAAAAGTACAATGGTCCCAGTGGCATAAACAAAGGTCTTTCTCTTTTTTATCTCTCATTAATTCTCAGTTCTATTTCCGGTTCTCAGAAGTCGATGTGGAATGGATAGTAGGGGCTCGCCTTGCGACTGTAAAACAAAGAGAAATAGTTACATTCAATCATTAACAACCTTCGAAAACCTGGAGTTATCCGTTAGACTCACTCAGCAAGGGCGCAGAGCCTCCCATTGACATCCAGAGAATTAATATAGGAAATGTCCTCAGGACTCAATTTGAAATCGAACACCTGGAAGTTCTCCAGAAGCCTCGACTTGGTCACGGTCTTGGGGATAACCACGTGCCCACGATCAATCTGAAGAAGGCATTTCGATTGATGTTAGCTCATACATGTATGAACGTTATCCCGCGCATGGAAAAACTTAATAGAAAAACCCAGTGAATTCGCTAGACAATTCTATTGAATTTCTAATGAACATTTCAATAGAATCGACCAAAAACTGATGGAAAAAATATTAAATTTTTTCATGCGTGCCCGAGTATTGATTAATTTATAAACATATGCCCCACCTGGTATCGAATGACGACTTGAGCTGGTGTTTTTTTATACTTCTGACTTATTTTGAGAAGATTCTTGTCGTCAAGCAATTTCGGGTCCTCTGGCCTCGCCCAGGGTCTGTCTGGGGAGCCCAGGGGACAATAGGCTGTGATGATAATGTTCTTATCTTTACAGAATTTTGATAGTCTCTGTTGGGTCAGGTATGGGTGACATTCCACCTGCGAATTAATTATAAATATATCCCGAGGCAGATGACGGATTCGTTGATCAAGTAATTAGGGGACGAGGAGGCAAAATGGACACTAGATTTTTTTCAAATATTAAAACGTTAATACGTGACTCAAAGCGAATTTCAATAATTTATAAATCAAACTGGTTTAAAACTGATTTATCATTACAAACAGTAGAATGTAATATAATTAATTGGCTGAAATTAATTGAAACTGTTGAAATTTTAAGAAAACATTGGGCCTCAGGAATGTGGTGTATCGAGGGAATTATCTATTTTTATGTACCTGATTAATAAGAGGCCTAATTTTGCAATTCTCCAACAATCTACTGATCTGCTCGGAATTGAAATTGCTGACGCCAATGTTCCTAGTCAATCCCTTTCCATGAACTAGCTCCATGCCCCTCCAAGTCTCTAGGTAATCAATATCCGCGAGTTTGATCGAGCCATCAGGATTCTTGGGGAATAGCTCGTCTCCATCCTCGTGAGCAACTGGCCAGTGGATGAGGTAGAGATCGAGATACTCCAGCCCCAGATTACCCAGGGTCTTCCTTATCCCCTTCTCCACGGACTCGAACTTGTGGTAGTTGTTGAACAGTTTAGATGTGATGAAGAGGTCCTCTCGCTTCACAACCCCTTGGGAAATTTTGTCTCTGATGGCTTCGCCAACTTCGCTCTCGTTCCCGTAGGCAAGGGCACAGTCGATGTGACGATAGCCGATATCAATGGCATCTCTGACTGCTTGACCAACTTCACCAGGCTTCGACTGATGTCGAGATTATAATTGTTATTAATCCAAAGGAATTGTTTGGACAGGATTTAATTAATTGTTCAATTGATTTAATCATCATGAAATGAAGGGAATTAATTCGTTGATGGAACGGATTGAATGTTGTTGAGGATTCTGGAGGGATTTATTACCTTCCACGTGCCCAGCCCCAGCACTGGAATCTCACATCCATTATAAAACTTCAATTTCGGTGCGAGAGACATTCCCCAGCTGCATTCGTCAAGATTACGATAAAAAGACTGCTATGGAATTACGCGTTCAACTCCGGCGGCGGATCAACAGCTGGAAATATCTTATCAGTTGGTGCTCGACTTTTTGACATAACGCTCGGAATGATTATATCAGTGGAATATTTTCTCATTAATCTGAGGGATGGGGGAATAATCATCTCTCTGCATTCGCCAATGTCTAGGGCATTCTAATTGAGTCATTGCATTAAAAAAAACAAATGTTTTTTTTTCACGCGGAATGTTGGGGGATCGGGGCTAAACAGGCCAACTTAGAATTATGTAGGGGAAAATTTGTTTGCTTGAATTGCATTCATAATATTCGTGCGTATAAAAATGATTCATTGCACTTTGGAACTTGCCAATGCAAAAATTGATGAATGAACATATCTATTTCAAGGAAAAATGTCAAAGATTAGAATGGAATTTGAATAGCTGGCATTCTAATACTGAACTCAAGTTGAGGATAAAATATTCAAATCAATCGATAAATTAAGAGGAATTTCCGAGAAAAAAATTACTGTGCATGGGAAAATTGTCATGTTTTGTTCATGTGGAATGAATTCAGGTGACTTTGTTCAATAAATATTTTAGTGAAAGCTCATTTTACATAACCTCAAATATAAACACAAATAATACGCGAAAAAATCATAAAAAAGTCAGAAATTCCGTGAGTAATTGATATATTTCATTTCCTCAATTATTGAACAAAACCCATGTATTTTCTCCTATTCTTTAACATTCCAGATGACGAAACAACGAGTAAAAACTGACAAAAAGTGTTGATTGTCACTCACCACTCCCACTCATAAACAAAAAAAAACAATATGATGTCAGGTGGTAATAATTACAAGTTCTACGAAGTTCTCGAGTGTTCTACGGACTGCTCGCAAGACGAGATAAAACGAGCGTATCGAAGACTCGCTCTCCTCCACCACCCGGACAAGAGCTCAACGAATGGCAAAAAATTCCTGGCTATCGAGGAGGCCTGGAGGATCTTATCAGACCCAGAATCGAGAAGGAAATACGACGCAGAGTGCAGACAGGTGGAATTGGAATCAGAAAATATTTTAGTTCACGATAGAATCGGTTTCAAGGACTTGAAGACAGAAGACGAGGATCTACTGAGTTTTCCCTGTAGATGTGGCAGTAATTATCTCATTAATAAGGATGACTTAAATGCTGACGATGAGACTGTTTATATTCCCTGCCAGGAGTGCACATTCTTCATAGCAATTGACAGATGACAAAATTGTAATTTAATAAATTTGCAAAAGACAATAATACGATTTCATTGCAAAATCTCAGATTTTTTCATTAATATCTGCAAATCTTGAATGATCCCATTGTTAATGATCAATCACCATCCATGAATTCAAATAGAAAATCAAATACACATTCATCGTAGCATTTAACAAATGTCGAAAATTATAATTCAATGAAATTGTAAAAAAATGACACAATTTCATTGCATTATTCGTCAAATACTATTTAATAATTACCCATGAATTGATAAAAAACCTCAAATAAATCTCCCTCAAAATTTACTGCACAAACACCCACAATATAAAAAAAAATCAATGATTTATTCAACTAATGGCGATGTAACTACAAAATAATTATCAAATCGACATAATGAAATGAATGAAAATGAAAAAATCTTCATCGCCAAAATGCAGCAACATTTTCTATTTCTTATAAAAAATGATACAACAGATAACACATTATAGTAATATAAACTATTGAGCAATATACAAATAAAACGCGATCATTGGTACAACCACGTGCCAATAAATCATCTAATCGAAAAGATGTTATCCATTCTCCACATCCTCCAACACATGCACAAAATAATTAAATTATAAAAGAAGTAAATCATAATTCTTCTATCAGTCGATTTCACAAACAAAAGTGTCTAAAAAAAACTTATGGTGTGTATGTGTGAGTGTATTGCACATTAAATTTATTAAAATGGACAGTTGAATCTTGAATTATTGGCACGTGGAATTACTGAGATGTTCAGTTTTACTTTTTCTCCATTTAATTATGATAATTTCGCTTCTGTTCTGTACTGTTATTTTCTGTTCAAAAAATCATTATTTTAAATTTCATATTGTTTGTCTGAATGAACACGAGGTAATCGATCATTGAACATCGATTAAGAGATTGCTGATTCAGCTTGGCCATTTACAGTGTGAAAATTACTCTTAATTACTTCTCTCTATCAGAATATTCGTCACTAATTTTCACACACTTCATCATCGTTCAGTTTCTCCTTTTTTTGCATTATATACAATGACATTTCATTCGACGCACAATTCAGTCCACTGACCCACCAACAATAAACGCGTGTCGCAATTTATTTCCCCTACTCTTGTAAAAGAAGCTCGCTGATTAATTATTATTACAAATTACATTTGTTTTCTTCCTTTTCATTAATCATTAGAATCTTTAGGATTATAATTATTGCGACTGTCACGCACACGGGGGGGAGGGGGCAAATTGTATATAAAAATACCATAATTACGTATGCATGTGCCTAATTTGTCGTAGAACGACTGAAGTAGTTTTATTACTTCCCACGTGAGAAGATTCTTGTATTTTTTTCTCAATTTTAATGATTGTGATTCTGAATTTATTTGGAAAGAGAACCACCAGGCAGGAGTTAATTATTTAATTAGACCTTCTTTAATGATTTTGAAATTAATTTTCTGTTTGGCATGAATAAATCTGCTATTACGATAGTAAAAAATATTTTTAAAAGACGTAAATAAATTTAGTTGAAGGATTTTCTCTAATTTCAATTGATTTGATTAATGGATAAATGAATAGATAAGCTGCTTCACTTTGATTTCATTAATTAAATTTTCTAAGAGTCTTTATCAATTCATACGTCATTCTCGGGGGGCTTTAAGTGGACGAAATAAATCACAACTTTGTCCCAATGTACCTAAGAAACATGTTCCATCTCTCTCACTCCTCCATTACCTTTTCACATTTTAAAAAAGGAATCTCTCGTGTGCAGTCTTATCACAAATCAGACCATAATAATAATACATGAAACATTGTACAAGTAGATTGTTCTTTTTTCTTCCTTAATGCACCTACCTAAGTTGTTATTTACAAAAATTGAAATACCGTGACTGCGTACCGAGGCACGACGTGGCGTTGAACCATTATTCATTTGCTTAGGGTTTTTGTTATTCTTAAATGCTTCCATGTTTCAAAATTTCACCTCGACGTCGAAATCAAGGACCAGTAGTTTTGTTTCTTCAGTGCCATTGCGACTACCAACTGCACATACGAGTTTAGTGTCACTGGCACGAATTCTCCAGACCACACCACCGCTACCTCCACTTTCTAGAGCTACGAGATTCCTTATAAATTCACCTGTGGAAAAGACGAGTGATTCACACGATTAGAAAATATGTTAGAAAGAATAATTCTGCAGATTTTTGGGGGGAGGGAAAGAGGAGAAAGATCTTACCAGTTTTAACATCCCACAACTTGACAGTGCCATCATCAGACGAGGTAATAACAAAGTGGCTGTTAAACTGTAGGCAAGTAACGGCAGATTGATGCTTGTGTGCACCAGACAGTGTCTGAAGGCAGTGTCCACTGACAATGTCCCAAACTTTGACAGTGGAGTCGGCATTACCAGACACTAGAATGTTGTTACGAAGTTCCATGCCCGAGGTGAGAGACTGGTGGCCCATGAGAGTGTGCCTGAGGGCACCAGTCTCGACTTCCCAGACCCTTATGCTAGTGTCGAGGGAGCCAGACACCACGTGAACACCATCAAACTGCACAAATGACCATCAAAGATTAGTATAATAACATCATCAATTAATTACAGAAGAACAAAAATGACTCAAAACGCCCACAAATGGTTTTGAAATGAATTATTACTCACCTGAAGTGAATAAACCCTATTGGTGTGACCCTGAAGTGTGTGTAGGCACTCCTCACGCTCTGGATTCCAAACTTTAACCATGTAATCATAGGCACCACTGACAACCAATTTACCATCATATTGCACACATCTTACTGCTGCCAAATGTCCAACGAGTACGTGAAGACACTCGCCCGTATCAACTTGCCACACCCTAAGTGTTGCATCCCTGCTGCCACTGACAACTTTATTCCCATGGAGATGCATACAGCGTACTGTCGAGGTGTGTCCATAGAGGGTATGCATACACTGACCAGTGTCAGCATTCCATACTTTTAACGTTCTATCTGTACTGCCACTTATCACTGTTGTGCCAGCCATCTGCGAGGACCAGACACCGCCTGTGTGACCCACTAAGGTTCTCAGGCACTGAAAGAAAAGGGAAAAACACTTGGTTGGATTTTCATTTCGCAAAAAGTCATTTTTTGCATTTTTGTAATTACTAAGACATTTTTTATCGAGAATTTAATTAGCTACGATAAAAGGCGATTAATTTTTTTCGCCTAAAATAAATAATTTACCTTTCCAGTAACAGCTGACCAGACTTTAAGAGTATTATCATCAGATCCACTAACTATTCTATTCCCCGAGAACTGTAAACAAGTGATGACATGATCATCGTGTCCCTTGAGAACTTTGGGCGGTCTTATTGGCATAGTCCTCCAGTTCATTTTGATATTATGCTGTCTCATGTACGCCTGCTTCCAGGGTGAACCACAATTGCCAGTAGTACGACATGCCTTACGTTTCATGGGTGGCAAATCTCTGAGATCATCAATTCCAGCGGACCTGCATTTTTCTTTCCACAGGAGATTGTCATCAGCGAGGAATCGCCAGTTTCTGCAGGTCTGAGCTGCTCGAAGGAGATCACGGGGCTCAAGGAATGCCAGAACTGAGAGAGCTAGCTCTTTCGGTAGGAGGGATATGAAGTCACGCTGGAATTGTGGCTCTATCACTTGCATCATGTGTCGAACTTGCGTTGGCTCACATCTCTCGATTAATTCGTCTATTGCTAGCATTCTCTCAGCATTTGACCATCTCTGAAATGGGAAAATCATTTTGAATGGATTGGAAAATAAAATGTTCTGAAATCAATTTCACTTTCATCCAAAACTTTCATTTCCATCCAGAGAACCGACATATTTAAACTGCGTAAAATGTTTTATCTGAGCTTTTTATATTCATTTCAATTTTTTTTTTGTTGGAGATTAATAAACTCATCTGTTTACTTCGATGGAAAGGATTTAATTATATGGAATGAATGACGATCGATAGAAATGAAGAAAATCATAAATTGAAAAAAACACAATCTATTTGCCTCCCCCTCCCTTTTCCCTCTTGCCACTAGGAGTTGATGTGTCGCACAAACCTGGAATTGAAGAAGCCAATCACTCATTTCAGGTGGTGGATTATCCCTGGTGGGAATAACGAATCTCACATGTTTCCCCTTATCATCGAGTTTCTTCCCCAATAAAGGACAAGTCACCTTCTCTTCGGGATTGAGTTTTTTGCATGGTGAACTAACGAATTCAGTTTCACTCTTTCTCTTCCTGAGTGGCTGAACGACATTCAGGGGCACACAGGTCTGCAGCACTGGCCTCTGTACGTCCGAGTTGGATGACGAGTCGTCGATGATTCCATCTTCACACTCGACATCGCACTGCAGCCCATTGTCACTCACCTCGCTCTCTTCCTCACTCGTTTCGTCCTCGCCCTCGTAAGGCTCATTGGAGAATTCCTCAAACTCGTTGTTGTCGGTTTTAACTGACTCCTCGTCGGCATTACTCGGTCCTGGGCCATCGTCGAGCCTTTCAACTGGACTTGGACTCCCACCAGCTGGTTTATCAGCTTCTATGCCTTTGGCTGATGCTAGAGACGAGGTTGATGAGGACGTTGAGAATGATGTCGAGGTGGAGGAGGAGGGCAGGGACATTCCTGATCAAAGCGAGACCTTTTGGTCTCTCTGAAAAATGGAGAAAGACAAGTTCGATTGAATTGAGTGAATGCATTGGACTATTTACCTCAATTTGGATGAATTTTCAAGGGATATTTAATGAACAATAGTGAAGCATTTAGTGAGTGAATAAATAAATAGATAAATGGACATTAGAACTGATAAAGAAACAAAGTATTTTTAATAGAAAAGAGAATGAGGCAAAAGGAATTGGGCTGAATCCATATGAAGACATTCTGTTCTACCTCATTCTCCCATATCAATATTGAAAAGAAATAAAAATCACGTGAATATAATTATGAATGCAGAGATAAACTTTGCACGAATGCATTTATAATTGAGCTGAACATATTTACACGCTTATTTAATCACGAAGAATGTGGGAGAAATAAAAGACTGGTGAAGATGTAAAACAAAGAGGAATTTTTGTAACATCAAACAAATAAATTGACGACAAAACTTGAATGAAAAATTGAAAACTGGATTAAGTATTTTAGCTGAAAAATTAATTAACCCTCGTTCCAACTCCAAAATGGAGCACAAATATTTTTTTCTACAAATTCTAATCAAACCTAACCTCATCACTGAGCACTCCGCACTGCCAGACCCCAGGAATTTCAAATAAAATCGCGTTTAAAGCCCAAAAAAATTGATAACAACGTGTTAATTAGTAATGAAATGAAATAAAATGTATAATACTTACTGGTCTGAGTGAAAGACCTGCCGTCCTCGAGACACTCTTCTTTATTCAATCCCCAAAACTGGAATCCACCGTCGATGATATCGCGAATAAAGCAACTATCAAATCTCCATATCATGGATGACGAGAGAAATTTACAACGAGAGGGGGAGAGTTGAACTAAAAATTGCCTGTTGGTTCCTTGGTTGCTTGGAGAGAATACCCCGAGGTTCAAGGTGTCACATCGACGGCGGCGAGAGGGGGGGTGGGGTGGTACGAGTGCAATTTTTTCAACAAAAAAAGACACGGCAGGTGACGACGAGGGACTTGTTACACCCGCAAGAGCACAGATAAACCACTTTCGGGGGGTTTCATGAGCATGGAGATGCTATGGATTTGGAGTGATTTGAGTAATCGGGCTTACAACGAACTCTCGTGATTCTACTGGGAAGAATAACTTTAAAAAATGTTCGTTTCCCCCCCGAGCAGCTGTATATGCAAATGCAAAGTTGTTTCTTTCCCCAGTGAAGAGTCTGGGATACTGACTCGCAGTACTCGTGCACGTATCACTGCCAGAGATTATTTTTCATCATCGAGAGATAACCCCAAAAAGCACGAGACAAAATACCCACCCAAGTACGAAATGAGATTTTGAGAGGAAAAAATTACAGTAGATGGCTCTGTGTGTTTGTTCCAATTGTACTGATTCAATATTGTTTTCTAACCTCTGCAATAAATACTCCACTCATCCAGCTATCGGAGCAATAATCACAAGTTCCGTTATTTGATAGTGTTTTTGGTATTGAGTTTTAACAATGGATAGATCAATGAACAGTGAATTTTCATCTCAATATGACCAGATCCACCTCTCATCAGAGGAACTGGAGACTCAAAAACTAGCCGAGGCAATGGTACAGTATTCACTCCAGTTTCCCAACGTTTCATCTCCGTATAAATTGTTAAAAACATCAAAACAGCCACTGACGTTTTCAGAATCTAAAGCTGACTCTCCCAGAATTGAAAATACTCAAAGAGTGTCAACACAACGCTGTGTATCAGAGAGGTCTGCCATTGGGGATGGTAACAGGGGCTAGTACGTACTATTTTATGAAAACTGGAAAAATTCCCAAGAGTCCCCTATTGTGGCTGGGTTCCGCGGTAGGGGGTTTTTTAGCTGGGACCATATCTTATCGGTCAATTTGCATGGAGAAATTGTTAGCTCTGCCTGAGAGTACTTTGAAGGAAAGGATTCTGGAGGCGCAGGGAAAGCAGCGAGAAGTAAAGTATGTGCCCAACATAAATTCAAAATTTATTTGTTATTTTTTACTCTTTTTATTAGAGATCCTACAGCCTAGGCCAAATTTACACATATACACGAAAATATATAAGAATAAGATAGTGGAGTGGAGACTTCCATCTGGAAACCAATTTATCAAGAATTTTTCAAGTTTTTTCCTTGAATTTTATTATGAGAATAAAATATGAAAATGCAACTTTGAGAAATTAAAAAATTCATGCCGGTGAATTTGTGTATAGAAAATCAAAATCGATTGACCAATCTTCTATCAAATATTTCTCAACAAAATGACAGAATTGGCGCAAAAAACAAATAGAATTTTTTAATAGAATTCCAGCAGAAGTCTAATATTATTATTGTAGAATTTCAATAGAATTTCCTGAAGAGAGCTATAATTTTTTTCATATGTACCATCACGATGTATGTGTGACATTTTAGGATTGAAGTTCCTTCTCAGGATACTGGATCCTGGTTCGACAGTATGTTGCCCACTGAAACTGCACCAATGGGATCTTCTCTTGATTTTGATACCCATCAATCCAATGGGTTCGATGAGATGCCGAGGAGTCAAAACGATTTAGGTAACACAGATCATTCAACTTGAAGATTATTCGTCTACGATAATTCGTAAATTGTTGCACTTTATATTGAGTTACTTCTTGGATGGCCTCGATGTCAAAACCTAACTCAAATTATCACTAGAACTGTTGGTATCATTCATTTATCAATTTAAACTTCAATTATATCTCGACGCGCAGATCATCCAAAAATTTACGTATCAAACTTCACCAATATCTGCCAATATTTATTACTTTGCAAGTAATAATTATTCTTTCCAGATACCCATTACGCAATAGATCCACCTCTACCTCCAGCGACTTCTGCCTTTATCACCTTCGACGATCTGCGACGTGAAAATCGCGAGCAATACGAACGATCGCAGAATCAGCAGTCGTCAATGACCAGGTTCTGACATTAATTGAAAGATATTAATAGAATGATTAATTCGTTGATGTTTTCAGGATGCCTCCGAGGGGTCCAGGAAGCCCACAACAACCTCCACAGTCCAGACCCAGTTCAGGTGGTTATTACGATCCACCACCACGTCCAGCCAGTGATGACTTTCTCCGTTAAATTGTGATAATTGGAGTAGTTTTTGTTTTGCTTCATTACTTTGTACAAATATATGTTAAGGAAAAACAACATGCACTTATAAATATATCATGGAGCATTTGATGTAAAAGAGAGTGACATTTTCACATGGTCGAAAAAATGTCAGCTAGGATTTTAATTCATACATTTATGAAATTTCTTTATTTTAAAGTCATCAATTTGTGGGTGCACACAGGAATAAAGATCATTTCATTATTTACAATTCAAGGATCAAATGAACTGTAGCACCATTTAATGACGCAAGGTACAAAAATCCTTGCAATATAAAAATCATTTGGCTCAATAAAAATACGGCTTTGACGTAACTATTCAATTCAAATTCAACGAGGACGTATTTTCTTTCAATTCAGAAATTACAAATGGAATGAAAAAAAATTAGTTCCTCCTCATTTTCTCTACAATGAGCAACATATCTCTCAATCAACTTTTTTTCGAATTCAATATAATTCTACGTAGTTTTCCCTTTATTTCGTAATTGTCTTGACAATTTCCTCGACGATCCCAGATAATAATGAATTATTGTCTCCCTTGCCCTCGATTGAAAGACTTGAAGACATGTCAGATGACTTCTGAAAAGGAAATCATAATTGATTAGTCAATTCGATAGAAAATTGCATTGAAAATTCTATTAGTTTTTTTTAGTAGACAGCTATAGAAATCCAATCCGCTCAGTTTCCCTGTAAAATTTTTTCGCACGTATAATTCTACGATTGCAATTACCTTCTTGAGTAAAAGGCACACGTGATGACCCATCAGCGAATGACCATATAAAGACGCAGCATCATCGACCTGCTCCACAAGTGTTAATTTGCACCTCTGACAGACCGCCTCCAACACCGATCCAAGATTCTCTGCAACGTCCACACTATTTGTCGTCTTATATTGCAACTGATCGCTACCAAGTAGATCCGTCAAGGCGTCCCCCGGCGGTAGATTCCCAGCGAGAAAATCACAACACGAGAATTTCAAAACGAAATCCAACTTCTCCTGAACCATCCCCAAAGAGCTCTCGACAAAATAACTCAGACTTCCCCTCAACTTCTGGGCAAATGTGTCATCAATAACTAGAATGGGAAGATGCACCTCCGTTGTAGCTTGTGGAGCCAATTTAACTTTTATCTTGATCCCAGACTCCTCTCCGAAGTTTCTCACCAGCTTCAATGTCGACGAGTCCGTGACATCCAGGTCCAAATCCTTGACGACTTTCTCCCCAGAATTAATCAGGACGATGGAGGCGATGATTTTTCCATTTTCATGTGGCAATTGCTTCAGCTCAACCATCATCTTCATCTTGTCATTTTTAGCGAGCTCCTGGTGTCCACTGGGCATCTGATACAGATTATTGATAGTTTCCTCATTACTTTCATTAAAATTGGCTCCAAGTCCCGGCAGAATCTCCTTGGAGGGTGTGGAAATCCCGGCAGTCTCCTCATACCCAGAGATATTCTGTTTCCCATCGCTCTTCTTCTTCTTCCTCTTCCCCTCCTCCTCCTTCTTCTTCTTCACTTTCCCTTTCTTCTTCATCTTCTTCTTCTCGTCATTCAACTCAACATTCTCAGTGCTCTCGTTCTCCTTGTTATGGATGACTATATCATTCCCAAGCCAGAGGTCAATATTGTTCTGATTCTCCGACTCCTTGCGCTCCCTTTTCCCCTCTTTGCTCTTCTTCTTCACCTTCTTTGAGGTTTTTTCTTTTCTCTCTGATTTTTCTGTGATACTCTTGGGGTCTCTGGGGTCTGCTCGATGCTCCAGTACTGGAAGTCTCTCGTCCTCTCGCAAAGGAATATCTAGATCGATGTTCAAGGCCCTGTGGGGATCATTGACATCAGAAATATTGTTGTCATCGTTGTCACTCAGTTGTGCCCCTGGTGGTAGCTCGCCAATCCCAGTGTTAACAAAGTGCGATGGATAACCGTCGTCATGCTCCTCGTCCGAGCTCTCCTTGTCCCTCTTCCCCTTCTTCGAGTGCTTCTTCTTCTTCTTCTTCCCCGCTTTTATCCTCTTCTCCTCAGATGAGAATTTCGTACTGAACGAGTTTATCTTCAAGGAAACCGGGATGTCAAGTTCAGCAATTGGAATGTGATCGTAATCATCAGTTTTGTCGTTATAATGAAGATTCTTGGGACTGGAATTGCCCTTCAAATAATGTGGATTATTCTCCTGCTCGATTCGCCTCATGTCTCTCCTCCTCTGGAGCTCCTCAGACGTCAACTCAACAGTCTTCTTCTCCCCGTACTCATTTCCCTTCTCCCCTCTGACGAAGATGTCATTCATGTCCAAATCCTCTTCGTCAGAGCTCTCAGAGGGGGGATCATTGATCCAGGAGTCAAGATCGAGCCCTTCGGGAATGGGAACCTTTCTCTGTGCCTTTGGTGCCACAGGATTCAGTTCACCCTCGAAAGTCTCAGCAAGCTCCTCGATCAACGCTGGATTCTCCCTCAAGTAGTCGAACAGAACCAGCACTGCTGTCGCTCTCTCCTGCACCTCGAGGTCTCCGCTGCAGATGAACTCGTTCATTCCGTCCTTCAGGGCGAATATCTGCTCTATTGTCTCTTGATCATGCTCCTTCTGCGCTTTGTTCAATGTCATGGCTGCTAGTTTGAGAATATTGTGAACGTACACTGCTTGTATGTGACCGGGGAGACTTGACGCCTGGGACTTGAGCATTGATTTTAATGTTGCTATGGGGTCGTTGAGCTCTGAGGAGAATTCCCCACAAATCCAAGCTGCTGCGTAGAGAACCTCGCACATTGTCGCTCGTGGTGTTCCTGTCAGCAAATGGGCATTTTCGAGGAGTAAGGCACACTGTTGAACTGCGCATTTTCTTATCGCTTGGACCCTGATGGCAACGTCGAGCAGTTGAGTCGCCACCAATTGCCCATGCTTGGTACCCTCCATCTTGGTAAGGTCAACGAGAACGGAAATGTACCACTCGAAGTAAGTGATGAATTGGTAATTGTTTTGGGAACAGATTTGGATGATTTTGGAGAGGAGTTCGTCTCTGTAGGTTGTGCCCTCGGCTTTGTCCATGTGGACCATGAGTTTTCGGACAATTTCCATGAGATTTTTCTTGGATACCATGCCGTAGAGCAGGTCCAGGGCACGCAGCCGAATACTCTCGTCTTTGTCGTCCAGGCACTGCATTATGAGATCTTTGTGAGCTTGCACGCTCTTCGGGTGGGTTTTCAAGATCTTTGACATTGCCAGGAGACCCAGGTATTTGAGATTTTGGTCAGAGTCCTCGATTAGTATTCGCAGCTTCTGGACGCAGAGTTGGATTGAGTCGGAATGGTTCGGCATTCCGGAGGAAATGGAGATTAACACTGCGATTACTGTGTTTATGCACTCGTAGAGGAGCGACATTGCTGATGTACTGGAAGAGAAGTTTTTTTCGGTATTTATTATCAGTTAATTATTTCCTAGTGGAGCTAGCTACTAGTGTTTACTAACTGGAGAAAATCGAATTAAGACTAAAAATACTCAGCTTTAGATGAAATTGAAATTTAGAAATAGTGAAATTTAATTTAATTTTAAGAAAGACTCAGGAAATTCCGGATTTCGGTGAAAGTTCAGAGATGTCAGCTAAAAATGTTGAGAAATGCAGTTACCTGTGTATTAAATTGGTCAGAGGTTCTATGAGTTTTTTTCCAAGCCTAGGTTCTAGAGGTGTCAACGCGCCAAACTGCAAATTTCATATGAAGAATACATTGTTACTACTGCGAAGTTATAGAGGATGTAAGCCACAACATGAACGATGTATTTGGGGAGCAAAGAGGGACTATTATTATATGAAATTCATGAAAATGGTCGATGATTCTGTGAAACAGTGAATTTTGTTGTTTACCAAAGCACAAAATAATCTCAACAACTTCTAGCGATATCTTTTGGTCAATTCAATTTTAAACCTGCATATGAGATCAATGAGTGGCTGGGTCAATTGCCTACCCAACTTTGGCTCAATCAGTGTGATCGTCGCGAACTGAGTGGAGAAAACCAAATTCAGTTATCAAGATTGTCAATTTTTCTCGTCGTAAACATTGACATTGTGTCCATATTCTCAAATTTATTCTCAACTTTATTGCAGAATAATTTTTTTTATTATTAAGGCTTGGCTGGATTATTTTGCGAACGTGATCTCCCTTATTTATTTTCTATTTTGGTAAAAATTGTTTTTTGAAAATGGCAAATATTTTGGCTCATAAAGATGGAAAAAAGTACAGATAACATTCGAGAGATAGTCCACCATGGCCTTGAACCAATTACTCAAAAAAAATTATTATTCCATTAAAATCCACAAACTCACCAATTTAATAATTTTTATGAGCATCCAATTATTCGTCGAAGTTGTCATGAGCTTGAAGAAAATGGGGGCAAGGCTCAAATAATTCTTAGGATTCTTCCTAGCTAATTCACAAACGACATTGACAGCAGCAGACTGAACTCCACTGTCCGGATCCTCAAGTTTTTCCTTCAGTCTGGGGAAAGCGGGCCTGAGGGCCTCGGGAAACCTCAAGAACACTTTATACATCATCAGCACTGCCTTCTTCCTCAAGTACGGTTTCGTGCTGGTCAGAAGAGTCATTATGTCGTTAACAAGATCCTTAGCTAAATCTGGACTTATGAAGCAGGACAATCCACTCAGAGCCAAACCAGCATCGTACTGATTCTGGCTGTTCAAGTCTTTTCTTATCATATTCGTGGTCAACATTAGAAGCTCAGTGTCCATGTGAAAGCTCTGACTACCAGCCAGATACCCGATCCTCTTGTACGTGAACTTTCCAGAGGACATGACCTCGATGATATTGAAACCAGCCCAGCTGATGTCGTACCCCAGCATCTGGAGATATGTGAGTTTGGCAACGGCATTCGCCTTAACAGCGATATTGTCCTGCCTCAGCTCCTGTTTAATCTCCTCAATGCACTGTGCAATGTACTTCGCCTGCAAGCAAACATGAGAATAAAAAAAAAAAAGAAAATAATTTTAGTCTGATGGGGTAAGCAGGCACGCATAAAAAAATTGTATTAACAATTATTCAACCCCTCGTGCATTTTTAAATAGACATTTGTTTATATAAAAAGTCTATAAATGTGATTTTTCTATAAATGATGCTGTCACAGGGTTACTTGAAAAAATCAGTTGAATTTCTTGAAGGAAAAGCAAGGTTTCTCCATTACATTTTTTCAAACAGGTCAAACCATTGATCAATAAAAAAATTATCGTAAAATTACCCATTATGTGTGTCATTAGTACAAATTTGAATTAGCAATAAAATTTTGATTGCATTGTTTGCAGAATACTGAAGAGAAATTTGAAAATGTCAATTTTTTTATGGCACTCTAGGTAATATTGGTCTGCTTATCCTAGCTAGGTTAACCCATCACTCGAAGCCCAACAACTCCCAAGAATTACCTCATTATTCTTGTTGTTCCTAATGCCCCGCACCAAATCCGTCAGATTTTTATCGAACATTCGTTCAAAGTTCCCTTTGACTTTCCTCAGTGCCATTTCACTAGATGAGACGTAACGAAGATTGGAAGGAAAAAAAACTCCAGGAATTTAACAGTACCTGCACTGTATCTCCGTCAGTCTCACTAGCAAAGCCTCCACCCAACTCTTTCACTCCGGTTTCACCTTGTCTATCGCATTCTACTTTCAGAGAGTTTATCAAAGAGACATTTATCGAATTAGTTGGAGATTATCCCGTATGCATCTGTAATTAGATGAAGAAAGGGAGTAAAAAAATTCACCTGACGCCCACCGCGGCTCGAAGCTGTCGAGTCAACCTCCCGTTTTACAGAACTACTGTTACTATTTTATTTTTCCTGTGCGAGATTGGAAATATGAGTTTCTATTTGATGCCAGCTGTTTTTGGAATTGATTGTGGAGAGGAGGGGAAGTGCTGGATGAAAGGGGGTGGAAAAAAATGGGCCAATTGAAACTGTTGCCGGTCTCCAACTTGTCAAGGCGACACGAATGTCGGACATGGCATCTCTCTCTCTGACACATTGAAATTACGATGCATACTGCAGGCTAAAGGTGGCGCTCGATTAGTAAAAATTGCGAGGGAGGATTACAAATTAGAGTGCAATCATTTTGATGTTATTCATCTACATGAAGGATAATACTGAGATAAATAATGGGATGTTGATGGAGTTAGAGTTACCCTAAAAATTTTGGAAAAAATATCCGCGAAAAACCTAGTGGATTCATGGAAAATTTTATTGTTTTTTTTTCAATAGAAATGTTTAATAAAAATTTATGTACAATACTGTACAATAAATAAATAGAATTGCATGTTTGATTATTCTGAGAAGGCAATCGTGAAGTAAATAAATCCGGTAAAAAGGTACTTTATCATAATTTTTTATTAGATAAAAATGATTATCATGATAGTATTATACTACAGTGCTCCCTCAGAGAATTGCAGATAAATATCAGTGTTGAGTGTATTTTAAGTTTTAAAATGACCTAGATTATCACTTTTTAAAATCTTTATACAATGGCTCCTCTATTCCCACAGCTGAGACACGACTAAGAGCATTCATTTGCACTCTCCAATGGCTCGAAGTTGAGTCTCAGATTTAATAATTCAATATCAAATCATCAACTATTTTATTTACAATTAACTGTGTCAAGCGATTCTAATTTCATTGAATTTTTCTTCCATCTAACTCATTTCAATCAATGTTTAAAAAACAATGAATGCACATTTTCTGCAATGTGTAGTGTTCCGAACTGCGAACTACTCTTTTCCTTTATTAAGAAAAATTTAAGTGGTCTGATAGAAAGGATTCTCCAACCATTGGAATGGATCGGACTTGACATAAATTACCAACAACATGAATGACGACTAGAAGTTTTTTACAAAATATCCCTTCCGTTCTTTGTTCTTTGTCTTCCTGATCATGTTTATCTGAGGGCACCACCTCTACTTATTGGGAGTTTGTAATTTTGCTAGTCCTTTGATCTCAAAAACTCATCACATGGGCTATTGATCGTAAAATTAATCATCATCGCATGAACGATTCGACACATTATAACTTATTTCATGTTCAAATTCTGTGCTCTGTTAAAAAATTTTTGTCACCTTGCAGTTTTTTGGAAAAAACTATGGAAATTGTAAATTTTAGTTCCGATATCCCACGAAAATTAATAGAAATCAGGAAAATTCAGACGAATACATTCTTGAATTTTCAATTAATTGCAAATTCAGCGTAATTTGGGGAATTCTCGTCTGCCTCCCAAAAAATTTTGAGCTTGAATGTTCACTGGTAATGCCCCGAGTGGTCGAAAATGTTTTCAGATGATTGCTGTCATATTTCTTGACATTTTACAAAAATTACTATTTATTGAAAAATGATTTTTCCATTCAGTTTTGATGAATCTAATTATTAGTCGATCAACGTCCCTACGTTTTTCTTACATTTTTGCATCGTAGTCTTTTCTACCGTTTGTGCAATGTTTATTATCGACAGAACATGTTTACATGTCGGCTTGTCATGAATGTAATCATCAAATTTTACGCAAGTGAATGAATCACAACTATAATAAAATGATTAGAGAGCCGTCTAGTAATGAATTGTACCGTAACAAGTAGAAGTGGAATCCTCTCTGAGAAATCCTTTTCCAAAGATTTTAAGTACTCTTAAATGTATCATTCCCACTGGCCTCAAGATTTCCTCCATTAACCTACCTCAACTTGACAAGTAAGTTGTTATGACTCATGAATAGGTAGAGGATGCCCTTCAGAATTGAAGACCCACCTGTCAAGATCTACGAGTTGTCTCGTATCATCAAACAACAGATAAAAGTACTTAAGAGTCTCACCGAACCAGAAACTCTCAGTCATGTCCCTGGGCCGCGTATTGTTGCGATTCCTGACATTTCCAATGCTAGTGTAGCCATTCTCGAATTTCGTGTGATTCTCAAAACCCTGGAATATCTGCCATCCCCAGGCTTGATAAGTCTTGTTCCCAGTGAAGTACCACATGTAGAAGAGGCTCTCTATGAACTCTGGACGTAATAAATTGTGGGCATCAGTTGACTTTACGTACATGTCCATCTGACTCTCCTCACCAGTATCTTGAACGTTGAAATAAGTTATTTCCGGTGCTAAGAACGTGGGCTGAATCACGTGAGTCTGATAACAAGTTCTTGTTAATTCCTTGGCGAAATCCATGTGCTCAGAGGGAAGACCATTGTGAACACCCAGAGCCAGTGTTCCTGGTAAATAGCAAGTTAAGTGGTCCATTTTAGGCTTCATATCCCTCGAGGCCCCTATCAATTCAGCAATGAACAGGAATTTATTCTTCGCTGTTCGTCTCACCAAGTGCTTCTGCATCCCCTGAATGCCAGCCACATAATCGTCCCTCAAATAATCTATTGTCCTGCCAGTCTGCACCCACTGCTTCAATAAGTACTCGTAGTAACTGTCCCCACGAGCCCCAAGTGTAATAGTCGCATACTCCCTGAACAGTCCAGTATTGGCGTTGATAAATATCGGCACGAGTCCATCGTACTTCTCTAAATTGTGAACGTGCTCCGAGACTTTGGCCACTGCAGCCTCGAATCTAGGCTGACCTGTGGTTCTGCTGAGGTCACGAAACTCCAGTTGAATTGACGTTACTTCACTCGTACTGCTGTCAGGCCCCCATTTGGGATGATGCGCACTCTTTGTTCCCAAGTTTACGTCTGAGTAAGGCACTCCAGATCTTGTGGAAAATGCTGGCATCATTCGATCCCCCAAGTCGATGGCTTTCTCGAGGAATATTTTGTCCCCAGACAGGTGATATGCTGACAGCAGTCCTCCTAGGACTCTTATGGTGACCTCGAAGAGGTTTACGTCTCTGTTTGTGTGGAAAACTAGACTCTCTTCTACCCAAGCACGTGCCTGTGCAAATTCTGGGGGAAAATTGGGGATTAGTCTCTGGGTTTATTTGATTACTTGATGATTATTCATTAAATTAGAAATTTTTGGATTTATCGGTTAGGCAAGAAAAACCTTGCAAATTCGATAGAAAATTATCAAAATAATGACAATAAAAGTTTCATCTTTTTATATTTTAACAGAATAAATTGCATAGAAAAATCAAACTATATTGATTTTTCTGTTGAATGTTGTTGATTGGAAAAATTTATGGCCACAAAATTTTATGGAAAAATGACCTTCATCTATCAAATATTTCTTAAAAAATATCGTGGTAGAGTTGAAATTCTAATGGAACTCCAGTGGAATCCCCACATTACAATAGAAATTCATTATAGAATTTCTTAAAGAAAGCGGTAAATTTTTCTATTAATTTCTTAAAAATACATCCCAAGATTTCACTTATTAATATTATGTATTTCTAATTGAATAATTTAAGACCATGCGGTTCTCACCTTCTTTGAGTCCCATAATGTACATAGTATCCAAAGAATCAACAATAGTCAATCCGAGTCCAAACCACTCGTGATATCCCCTGGAAATAGGTTTAACGTTGTCATGTCCCCAAGCAAACTTGACATATCCAGCCCAGGAGTGCTTGAAAGCCCTGACCACAGCCTTTTGCCTGTCGTTCTGAGGCCCATGGAAGACCATAGCATTGGGCTTGGGCTGTGGTGGCTCATTAATCTGATCATCGTCCACCTGATTGATCTCAGGCTGGAACTCAGGCTCCTCAATGACCTCACCACCACCGGGTCCCACACCCTGGTTCTCACTGTCCACCACCACCTCCTCGGGGATGCTGTCCCCCTTCGGAATCTCCTGAGCGACTTTAGCATTCACATAATCACTGCCATCGTCAATAATCACGTTCTTCGTGCCACCAGGAAGCAGATAAAATAATATAAGAAGAGCAGTGATCACCAGGAACCAAAATACATTCCGCTGAAACCTGGACATCTGATTCCATTGTCTCCACAGGCTCCTCGAGGGCTTCAGGTATGTTCCAGGATCGTTTATATTCAAACTTATGTAGTCAGTCTTACTAGTGTCTCGTGGCAACATTTTTACTTATTCTCCTTTATCGCCGGATGATTTGTGATTGTCGTTGAGGTTAAAAATCTCGGGCCGAAATGCAACACAACCGGTGTGATCCAAAAATCAACATGAATTTTGAGCAGAGGATTGGGGATATCTTGGACCTCATTTAAACCGATGAGTCGATCAATTCCTTGTGCTCACAATTCAGAGAGGATTTGAGTTTTTGGGAATTCTTGGATTATACATGGCTCCCTGGGACATTGGACAGCGTGTCAAATCCTATATATATACTCAGTTTTGTCGAAGACTAAACTCGATTTCAGTGGTGGGGAGCACGAGCATAAGTGGGGATTTGTGTGTGAAGTGGGGTATACGGCTGAGGTTACTCCTTTTTGACAAGATGCACTTTACTTCTTACTCTCTCGCACTCTCTCGGAGTAGCAGAGGTTCCTCGAGTTGTTGTCGGAAACCGAAACAGCTGGGGTTCGTAGTACCTGGGCCTGCCTGTAGGTGCAGTGGTTTAAATATTTCGGAGTAATCATCAACAAATCATTCCACGCTAAATAATATAAGCCCATAAGTTCGATTGTTGGAGAATACAACAATTCGCGTTATTTGCTGGGAAAACAAATATTTGTTGGGATTAATATCACTCGGGGAAGGATAATATTGGGGAATTTTCGTTTTGGAGCACGGATGTGATAGGCGGTGATAGGTTAAGTGACAGCTGAGGACAGCACCTGCACCATCAATTTTGGAGCATTTGTTTACATTGATAGGTAACAATGGCTCTTGCTAATATCTCTGGTATCCCTGATAAACACTGGCAGCCTCCTTTCGTCAATTTGGAAACTACGTGAGTGAAAAATTCTCTGTTAATAAATAGGTGAAATATTTTTGGCATGGGAACATTTAAGTTTACTTTTTTAAGTTTATCTTAACTTGAAAAATCTCTTAAAATCTTTTCCTACCTTAATTCTTAAAAAAAAAATATTTATTTAAAAATATTTATAATAATAACGATAATATCAATTTTTTATTTATGTGTTTGTCAAATAAAAAATATTCGATGGGTTCTAGAATGGGAGAAATTGTGATTGAGTTGTACTGGAAGCACGCGCCGCTCACCTGCAGAAATTTCGCTGAATTAGTGAGGAGGGGATATTACAATGGAACGAAGTTTCACAGAATCATCAGAGACTTCATGATACAAGGTGGAGATCCCACTGGAACTGGAAAGGGAGGGGTGTCTATTTATGGAGAGTGCTTTGATGATGAAATTCACGATGATTTAAAACACACAGGTATGTTAATGCAAACTGAATAGTCATTTCCTCATGAATAATTGATGCAGTAAGCGAATTCGTATTCATTCGTTGATTCCTTCAGGTGCAGGAATCCTGTCAATGGCGAATTCAGGGCCAGATACAAATGGCTCGCAATTTTTTATAACTTTAGCTCCAACCCAGTGGCTCGATGGTAAACATGCCATTTTTGGTGAGTCAATGTTTTATTCAAAACTTAGCAACAACTTTCAGATTTTTTATTTACTATTTACTTTTTTCATAATTTTATATTGGCTGGAAGGAATTTATTGAGAAAAAAATGTCCTTTTTTTATTCCACAGGGAGAATACACACTGGAATGAATGTTGTCAAACGAATTGGCCTCGTCGAAACTGATAAAAACGACCGACCAATCGACGAAGTCAAGATTGTCAAAGGATCAATAAAAAATGCTTGAAAAAATTAACAATTAACGTTGTCTTTAATAAACTTGATAATTTTGTCAATCAATATTTTTCGTTATTCGTTATTTCCAAGGTTTTCAATTTTTATAATTTCTTCGTATAGGTTCATAATAGGCTAGTTTTAATGTATATTCAAAAATATAATAAAGTAAAAAGTCGATTTGAAGATCATCGAACTAGTATTTTACATCCCATACGTCGCAAAAAAATATAATTAATATTAATCGACGATAAAAGTGATAATATGAATACAAAAAGTTGAGAATAATCACAAACTTCACTGGAAAACAGGGAAAACAAGTAAGAAAATTTTTTCCTCCATAAATTTTGAGTGGCAGAAACATTACTAAATTTCTCCTCATTCACGCTCATTAATGGATCAGTCACGCAAGGTATTACGAAAGTCGAGTGAATAATATTACTAAAAATGACTAGCCTTAGTTTGAGAAATCACTTTCTTATCCTAAATAAATTATTCTCGTCTCAGGTACACGTAGAAAATCTCGTGACGAAAGTTTTTTCTTTCTCAGTGTAAGATGTTTTCTCCTATCAATTTTCGAGTCATGAGTTTCGTGACACAAGTGGAGACATACTTATCAAAAAACTTTTATTTTTTTTCAGTATCCTCTTTATAGTTCTCTCTACCGGCGATACCAGCACATCTTCCGTTAAAATTGTCAACTACCCTCCCACACTTGTTTGAATCAGCAAAAGAGGCCGACAGGCTCACACATAAAAAAGGGACAGGTCCCCTTACCTGCTCTCCAACCTGCGTCTCAAGACGTGCTCTCCTCTCTCTCCCTCCCTCAGTCCGTCCTCCTCCCATACCCACAGTTCAAAACAGGAATCCAACTGTAGTCCCGACCGTTACAAGACGCTGTGCATAATCGTAAGCACAATATGACCCCCTGAACGTCTTGCATTACAAAAGGGGCTGGGAAGAAAAGGGAAAAACCCCAGCAGCATTTACACCCGTGACGTTGAGGATACAACACCCATAAAATATCGTGAAAAAAATCTATAATAAATACCGACGACCATGTCGACGACATTCAGAGTGGAGGCATTTATAATCCCCTCGTTGAATCGTGAAGCCCCCAGTGAAAATATCATAGACGACGTGAAAGTGGCAAAATTATTGAGGGAAAACTACTCCCCAAGGAAATTAGAGTGCATCAACGAGGATTCTGAACACTCAGACAATTCCTTTCTCGAAAAATCCTCAGAGAACATAATCCAACATGAGGAGATTGTTGGAGAATGTGAGCAAGAACAATCATCCACTATTAAATGTGAATCTCCTCATAAAGAAGACCTCAACGAGCCGATCTACGACGTTCCCTTCTCGTGTCGAGAAAAATTAAAAACCAATGTCAAAAAATCCACAGACACAGTGAAAGAAATTCCAGAGCATCTAAACAAAACAAACACCACAGACTTTCCAAGACTCGAAATAAATTTTCCACAATCGGATGAAGAGTCAGATCCAGGTGAGACTTTGGAGGAGCCAATCTACGACGTCCCCTATTTCTACGGAAAAAATCCCCGACAGTCTGTGGAGTTCATAAAAAAATTGGAAACCGCAGAGTTCGTTTCGCTGGGAAGGAACGAGCGCTTTAGAGGGCCCATGCTGCCTCTCTCAAGACCCCCAGTTCGTTCCAGCAGTCTGATGTCCATTGACGAACGAGGAGAGACTCCAGACGACTGTGGAAATCAATTCTGCCAGCATGGACTTAAGAATGGCTGCACCGCAACGAGACAGAGGCCGGAGGAAGTGACAGAAGAAATTTTCGAAGTTAATTGGATGAAGAGATTGGAGAGTCTTCGGGCGAGGGAGGCTGTGATCAAGGAGAAGGAGACCATGCTCTTTGATCGAGAGAGATTGCTATTCAAGAAGGAGAGGGAGTTGAGGATACTCGAACGCTTGATAAAGGACAAATTGAAACACGTGGAGTTGTGCTCCAAACGCCTCAAACACACGAATATCGATTCTGGGAGTGTTGACGAGTTGAGTGAACGGTCTGAGGAGTCTCGGGGATCGAAACAGAGCTTGGAGAGGCGTTTGAATTCTCTGGAGACACTGGAGTCCGTGAAGTCCGTGCAAACGACTTGGTCGAAGGGCTCGAATGTTTCGAAAAGTACAGTGATAGCTTCTGTGAAATGCTCGGCTCTTGGAGATGATAAAAGCCTCCCGGAGAGGGTCAGTGATTCGATCAATAAAATAGCTCCAGGGAAAATTATTAATCCTGTGAATGACAGAATTGGCTGTGAGGGAATGAGGTCTAGCGCTTCAGTCGCTTCTGAGAGCACTTGTGATGGAAAAACCCTGAATAATCCACCGAATTCGAGGAGTTCATTGGTTACTAGTAATTTGGAGGCCACAGCACAATCTACGAGGCTAATGCATCAGGGGAGAGGCAGCAGTATTGGGTACAGTGGGCATTCGAGTATGAGGAGGAAGAGGAGACCGAAAATTTCTTATGATGATCTTGATTCTACCCTCTCTGCTGACATTGGGGACTCCTCATTCGTTGTAACATCGAGGATTTTTGATCCTGCTGTTTTCAAGAAGCCCCAGGCGTTCACCAGAACCTCGAGTGAAAGAAGGCCGCATATTGAAGAGGAAAAAGTGCTGAAGAGATTGAGCGAGAATATTTTTGTGTCCAAGGACAGGGATACAAAATTCCAGGATTATGGCTTGATTGATCTGGGCCGAAGGGATGGAAGGACTGAGGAGGATGACAAGAGGTGTTCTTACTTGAATCTGGAGAAGGGGGGGAGCAAGAGGAAGGAGAGAGTGAAGAAGGATGGGAAGGAGAGACCTGTCAGCTGGAGTGAGGAGCAGAACGAGTGGCTGCAGAGAAAACGTATGGCGTACAACTGCACCATGAGAAAGATGCCCACGGAACACGTCGACAAGGAAAACCTGCAGAGGAAGGGGGAAGTGAAGAAAAAAGTTTCGATGGTGAAGAAGTTCAGTATTTTCCGATAGTCTCGGGTTTGCAAATAAAAAGTGAGTGTTCACAATTATTCGGGGGGAAGGGGAGGTTCGGATCTTTATCCATTTTCGGAAAATCCAATTTTTCACGTTCAAGAAAAATTTTGGTATTTTTTTGACTGATGGAGCCACATATCAAACAAACTTATCTGATGATTGAGAGAAATTAGTTGTGTGAGCTTTGACAATAGCCAATAAATGAATTTGTTTTTATACACGGCCTCTCGGGGAAGGTTTCCGAATTTCCAATGACATCCGAAAGAATTTATTTGCTTGTATTCATTTTGGAAGAGTAATATGTAAATAGAAAAAAAAGACATTTTATATTCTTTGGATTGTAATTTCCTTTCCAATTGTAAACTGAAATGATATACGAATAAATTTACTATATTTTAACAATTTTCATGATTAATATAAAAATTTACATGAGGAAGCGGTGTTTAAAGATCTTTACCCATTTGTTTTTATTCATGGCCTCTCGGGAAATTTATTTACTTGATCGATATTGGAATAGTGATATGGGAGTAGAAAAAACGTGTGGAATAAAAAAACACACTTGATATTCTTTTGGTCTATTCCTTAGGATTGTAATTTCGTTTTCAATTGTAAACTGAAATGCTACACGAATAAATGTACTGTATTTTAACAATTTTCATATTTAAATGTAAAGAAGAATTACTTTACGTCCAGCTTGGTGGCTCGCCTGGTTTAAGCTCCCTTCCATAGAGTGCAGACTTGTCCCGGAACCTTGTCATCCTTTGATCTTCCTGTTTGTCAAACCAATTCCCGATATTCCAGCCTATGATCGGTGGAATTGTGCTGAGACCTATCTGCTTCCAGACGAGTGCTTTGGAAAATGGCGCCTTCATCCTTAAAGTGCTTTTTCTTCACTAGCTTCTTGGGCAGCAAGACTCTTCTTCCACAAGTAAGTGTGACGCCAGTCAGCGTAGATCAGGGATCCACTGAGAGTTGGGAAGATTATTGACGGCAGAAGTAGCTTTATTCTTGTCCACAGAGATGGTTCCATCAAACTGCAAGTCCAAATGGAATATTTGTGATCATTCATTTGAAGAAGAATATATCTTCATCGATGATACATTGTTAGAAAAATTTAACTTTGATTGAGAACTGACTAGTGATTTTTAGAAGGGTGACATTGAATTGAATTTAGGGAGAAAAAATCATGAGATTTCTAATTTCACTGAAAGTTCAATACGCTGAATTTTTCAATTGAGCATTCCTAACACATTCTCCTGAATTTTTCTGATTTCTGCTCATTCTTATGGATTAATTAAACTAAAATCCAGAGTTTCCATTGAATTTTTCATAAACTACTGAATTCTCAAAGACAAAATTCCTTGAAATTTCAGTAAAAGTGAATTCTATCTGACGTTTCAGCTCACTTTTCTAGGTTATGTCGATCAATAATTATGTAATATATCGGATCAATTGAATTCACCCCGCAAGACATTCAATTTTAATTTCACAATGTAAATATCGTCTTGTGTGAACAATTGTTGAATAAACAATGTCATAATTCATTGTTTAGAAAACATCGAGAGAAAATTCGTTCCGCTGAGGAACAAACAGATGTCTCGTTTTGTGACACAAGTGGAAGTAATTCTCATCGAAAGATCAACGTACAAGAGTCATAAATAATTAAAAAATGAAATGGGCAGTTAATTAATACCTGACAGTTTCAGTAAATGTGAGAAATACCTTTTTGCTTGCTTATCCAGGCACCGGGACAGGCGACTGTGTGCACTCTCAGCGAAGAAAAAAAGAGAGGTTGGAATGGATTCGACTAGGTTGGTGTCCTTCCTCAACACCCACCGATAATAAAGACATCTTCCTACAATTTACACTGAACTCATTCAAAATAAACCTTTCGACCCAAGTCTTTAACCTGGAAGTGGTCTTTTAAACACTTATTAATGTTAACTCTACAATTCGGTCAGTGCGGGAATCAGCTCGGAGACGTTTTATTCAGGAAAATAACCAAAGACATTGGCTCAACGAGTCCAGGCACCTCCTTCACTGACTGTTACGAATACAGTGAAGCTACCACATCGAAATGGTTCGAGGGTACCTCTCAGGACGGGCGAAATATAGCCAGAGTCATTCTCATCGATGCTGAGAGGAAAGTTATAAACAAAATCATCGCGAAAAATGATGAGAGCTTCTGCTACCGATCAAGGAACATCATAACTCCGGGTGATGCCGGAGGATCGGCGAACAATTGGGCCTTCGGCTACACCAGGAAGGGCCCGGAGTTCCATAATTGGGTGCTGGAGGCCGTGAGGAGGGAAGTGGAGAGGGCAGATAGGCTCGACGGCTTCCTTTGCCTGCTCAGCTGCGCTGGAGGGACTGGATCCGGTCTAGGAAGTTTCATATTATCTTCCCTTCGAGATGAATTTCCTCTGAAGAACATCATCGCAGCTCCGGTCCTGCCCTTTCCCTCTGGAGAAGTCGCAACCCAAAACTACAATGCAGTCCTCAGTCTCGCGAAGGTCCTCGAGGATTCCGATCTGGTCGTCGTGCTGGAGAATCAGAAGCTCAACGGGGAAATCTCACAGAATCCCAAGATGAAGATTGACTTCCCGAGGGATGTCAACGACATCGCCGCTCAGCAGATTCTGTCGGTCTTCCAGCCAGCAAGGGACTCGTCTTCAAATCGCTATAACGATGTCAATTACATCATCTCCAAGGTGTCTCCTCATCCAGGATTCAAATTAGCGACTGTTGAGGCCGTTCCCCTCATTCCAGACACTCAAAACAACGCATCAAATTTTCAAACAGTTTCTATGAATTATTCAGGGCACTTCAAGGCCCTGAAGAAGGAGATTTCGACCCCTCGAGGGATCAAGAGCCTCTCCAACATCTTAATCACAAGGGGAACGGCCAAACAAAAAGGAAAAAAGATGTTTTCTCCTGATGATGATGATTCATCTGCTATTGATCAACTCATCGATCGAGGGATCTATTCGAAAATCAATTGGCTAAAGTTCGATGAGAGAATTACGCATTTTCATCAGAAGAGAAATTTCTTAGGAAATGAGAGATTCAGCTCAGTTATTTCGAACAATTCCGGGATTGCCGGTCCTCTGGATGATATTTTGGCCGGCGCCTGGAGGCTCTACACCCACGGAGCCTTCCTCCACCAGTACAAACAGCATGGCCTCGAGGACGATGATTTTCTCCGTGCATTCGCTAAACTTGAGAGTGCAGTCAAGTCCTACAAATCACTCCAAGTCGATTGAGGTGACTCGACTACGTATATTCGCGCAACTTCCGCATTGTCGTCACAAAGTTACGCCACCCTCTCCCGGTATAACTACACGAGAGGGGCGCTATCGATCCACGGAGGAGGGGGGCTTTCCTTTTTCTAGCTTTACTACCCGATCACCCCACCAACCCAATTGAGGGATGTCTTCCTGTTACGTCACGAGATCGACCCACGGGCTCACCCCACCAGCGGTGACGAAGATGGAATTAACGGGTTCTCAGAAACTACAAGACTTCTCCTTTAGTCAATTTGTTCATTTGACCTTGGGAAAAGTATTGCGAATATTATTTAAATCCTTTTAACCAAGTTAGGGATGTACACAATGATGAAGAAATGACGATTTATTTTTTTCAGTTGTGTAATATTTTTGTGAACGAAAAATGTAAAAATTTGAAATTTTCGCGAAAAAGGCTAATAAAGATTTATCAAATGGATTTTACAAGTAAATTATGCTTCATAAAGGAAGAATGTGTGAAATTGTGAGTTCAGCAGGAAAATCGCATAAAAATAGAAAAAAAAACATGTAAACCATTTTTCTCGATTGTAAATGAATGATCTTACTTCCTCGTATATTAGAAAAAAAAAACGAAATGAAATAAATTTGTCAGGAAAAAACCTAATTAGTATCTGTAATCTGTTATTTCTGTTTGCAAATTAGGCTTTTTCATTCTTTTCGTGAAGCCTGTACATAAAAATCCACAATGTCTGTAAAAACTCCAATGAAGACAAAAATAACTAAAAATTCGTTGAAACTTTGAGCATGCAAACAATGACGAAACAATTTTCCTCTCTTAAAAATGGATGAATGTACAAATTGGTAACTTCATCAGGAAGGCCTTCAATGAAGATAAAAATAACAGAAAATGTATTAAAAATCTTATCTTCATCGTGTTAACTCTCTAGCTTCGTCCCTGGTTTTTCGATCCTACACCTTTTTCTCCCCCCCCACTCGGTAGCACGCCCCGCCGCCGCTGCTGTAGCGTCCACCACGGCGTCGATACCCTTCATACCACCTACAGCCATCGCCACCCTTATTTTTCCACTCTCCTTTCTCTCTCCCAGCGCCAGACTGTACGGCCCCACCACTACCACCTTACACTCCAACAAAATCGAGGGGTGGGAATACGCTCGCCGCAGGACGCTAGACGCGATTTACTTCGGGTGCCGCTGCATTGTTGTCAATTCTGTAATAATACGACCCCGAGAAAGAGTAGTAACCGTCTGGAAAAGGACACCGAAGGCCTCCCAGTGCTCCTTTCCCTCGCATAATCGAATGAATCTCGGTTAGAGAACAAGCAGTGCAAGTGCGTTACTCCGAGTGCTGGAACATTGCCTGATTATTTAGTACGTTACGCCATTTTGTAGGATACACTTGGACGCGCATCGACAAACTGTCAATTTCGAACGGGGTTGAACCATTTTTTCAACCCTATTCAAGTTATTCCGCGAGTTTTTGAGATTTCATAGAATTTAGACAAGTTTTTCCAAGTGATTGCCAGTGCCAAGCATCAGAACCTGTTTGTTGTGACAGAAAAAACAAATGTGAAGTGTCAAAACGTGAAGCTTATAGTTTTTTCAAGATTTCGGAGCTGTTTTTTCAGTGTGCAACTGGATTTTTCGATATTTTTGAGCAGATTTAGGGAAAAACGGTGGTTTAATTGATCGAAATGCTGTAGCACGTGTTTCTTGGAGGATATGAGGATGTTTGAGAGATCAACTACTCCCGACAGTTCTTAAAGGTGATTATAAACACTTTCGAATATTTTTTTACTTTTTCGTAGAATGAATTTGCTTTAATTTTGTTTCTTAATTTTTTAAATCGGGCTTTGAGTTTATGCGGTTGATTCAAAATAAAATCAATTCATTCATAAACTATAATCGTGCTTCTGGCTTCATAGTGAACTGCAGGTGCGCAAGTGTAGATACGGCACTGCCCACCATTCTGAAAATGCCCAGCTCTCTCCTTCTGCTTGCCAACACTTGTTTTCGTTTTCTCTTTTTTTTCTCATCTTCACGGTCAAAATGACCGTAGGGGCAGCGTGGCGCCTCCTTTGGTGCGTCGCTATCTCTATTGTTGGGAGGAAAATAAAGATGTTCTTGGCATTCCATCCCCCGCAGATAGCACAGTCACCCCTCACTCATATTCATCCCTCTTGGGGGCGTAAAAAATTATTTGTCGGGGTTCAACGCAGTCTACGGATTTAATCGCTCGAGGACGATTATTTATGGTAGAAGTTGAGAGGTTTTCGGAGATTTCAATGCCGGATTGACGAACTATTTTTATTTAATGGCTTTGCAGTTATTCTGTAGGAGAAAAAGTCCTGTTGAAATTTTGCTCGAAAATGGTGCAGCGTATTCTATCGAAACTTTTAAAAAAATGCGTTAAATGGAGTGAAATTTACAGTATATTCCTTGAAAATTGTAATTTTCCAATGCAATGAAACAAATTGTATGAAATGAATGATTCATTCATTTCAAATAAATAAATTTAATTAAATAAATTCAAATAAACTTTTTCTCTGAGTGACAAGACATCCTCTTATAGAATGCAATTCATAAAAGGCTTATTCTTCAGCTGAAAAATAACAACAATCGAAGAGTTAATTACCACTTCACTTATTGAGTAACAAGTGAGATAACTTTTATCGAGACTTTATGTACTCAAAAAACAGGTCATTAGCATTTACTCTGAGAAGTGACTCATCGCCCTCAGAACCCCTCGATCGCGTTCCACTCTCGCCTCCACCGTTCTACCTAAACCGCTCACCTGTACGAAAATTCCAATCATTCCATCGATAATGTATTCTGTTTTTAAGGTTTTGGAATTCTCGGCTGAAGCTGCTGCTGTCCTGATTAAATAAGGAACATTCAAGAACAAATAGAGATGAGGACACCCGGAGCGGAAGCGGAGGTGAATCGCTCCCACGACAGCTATGGCTTCGATTTTCAACCCAAGATCAAGAGCACCGGATCAACTTCCTCGTCGCCCATGCCCTCCTCCTCTGGGATTATTGTTAATCCACTGGTACTGTCAACATCACCGGCTGAGGCTGAGGAATTTCCCAACAGGTAAACTATCATTTTTGTTTACGTTTGAGGATTCTCTCTCTTAAATTTCGGGATATTCATTTATGATAATTTCAACACTAGTGTATAAATATAAAAATAGTAGTAAATGGCATAAGAAGATTTTTCGAAGATTAAGCTCGGCTCTAAACAAAATATTTTGATACAAATTCAGCCATCTCTCCCACATTCCTCGATATTTACTTACTAAAAAAAACTACTTCATTGAGAGTTTTTGATAAAGATCTTTGAACTTAAACTAAATACCAAACTTCTTGAGGAGAACCCCAAGATATTCTCTCATTAAAACTTTATATTTTAACGAATGAGCGTGAACGATTTTCCACCCACCTAAGGAGATAAATCATGTAACTCCTCCATTCTTAAAAAAATTAAATTTAAATGTTTGTTGACACAACACTAAACGTCAGTCCACTGTTGATACTTAACGACCTCTCGAGGCAATCCAATCGAACCCGATAAATACTCAATACATTCTTCCCATCCAGCCCGCAATCTACCCATTCACCTCCCCCATGTCCCTGTATTTTCCTCACTTTTTTTTTATCAAACAATTTTTCTCTTTTTGCATTCCTAAAGCGATATCTCGTACCACTCGGCGCTGCAGTCAACCATATTGCATTTGTAATTGTGCGTGGCCTGATCTCACTTATATGAACGAGAGTAGAGTGCATGTGTAAATTCCCTCGTGTGTAGATAAACTACGTAACGACAGTAGTTGAAAACAACGGGTGTGAGGAGCCCCTGGAATGAATGTTCGGGAAGGTCGTCGTGAAAAAATTCACTCCAAGCGATTATGTTTGATAGTAAAACTTTAGAGTGCAATTGCATTTTCGAGGATAGTGAGGATACCATGGGGAAGGCCTGAATAATCACCCTGGGTACCTAGAATTCGAGGGGTCAATTGACGTGATAAGAAATTGATTGGGGGAATCTTACCCATACAAGCGCTCTTTTTTGTTCCCTCTGCGAGGAAAAAAAAATAAACACAAAAAAGTAATTATAATACGGTGCCTCTGGCGAGGGAAGACAACTCACTCCCATCGATTTTCTCTTATGAGAAAGTGCAAAAATCATCGTATGTGCGTGTTAAATAGCAAACAATGGTGCTCGCTCGATTTTTCACCAAAAAAGAGCGAGATGAGACGAATGTCCGACAGTCGGGGGTCGAGAAGGTTGCACCCAGGTGAGCAATAACTTGAAAACATTGCTCCGAAATAATTGGAGCACGTCCCTGATTTATTCTTGAGAGTAAAGCCTTGACAATTGTCATTCTCTTTTTATACTTGAGAAGCAATGGTTTGTTTCGTTATTCCAGCATGCTGTGCATTCAAGACGAACTGGGTCAGCTGAGTAACATTGCTGTGGGCTCGAGCCTTTCGATAGGGGGCATAAAGGACCAGGGGATTAAACATGAGGCTGGATACGATCCCCCTGGGGATTCCAAGAGTGAGAGTTCGGAGGACACCAGCCAGAATGGACAGAGCTCTGGAACCATGGAGACCCAGAAGCCGAGCTGGATGGAGGGCATCCTGGGGTGCATGAAACCAGTGTGGACGCTCATCTCGAAGCCGGTCGTCAGTGAAAAAATGAAAGGAAGTCCAGGTAAATAAGGAAATTCTACGATTGTCTCGGGGGAATCATAAAGGGATTTAATATTGGAAATGGAGTCAGCTTCGACATGTTCTCCTAAACCCAGTCATTTCCTAGACAATCACCTCATTAACAAATCCACTGAATCATCATTTCAAATCGATTGAATATACATTTCAATCGTTGATTATTAAATTTTTCAACACATTGTCTCATGGAAATTTCAAAACATTTTTCATTGGCGAATTCCTCAATTATGAAACGGTCTTTCGATATTCCCAACGCCACTTATTCCGGAATTTATGAATTCATCCAAATCGATGTTGTGCTCAACTTGACAAGTATCTTGTAAAAACAAGGCTATGTCGCTATTGAAAGATGCGTCAACATTTTACAAGTAAAAATGAATATAACATTTTTTTGACGACGTTTTATTACTTTGCCAACAGAACCACTCCTCCCGAGTTCTTTCCCATTCACCCAATTGCCAAAACTAAAAACCAAACAATTCTATTCACAAATGCCCCTCTTATCTTATCTCCAACAGTTTCAGTCCCATTGAACCCAAACAAACCCATGAATTTTTCTCCCCAGATGATCACTGGGAGATCCTCTTCGAGACAATAAGCGACCTTGAGTGGCTGGGCTCGGGTGCGCAGGGCGCAGTGTTCCGAGGCCTCCTCAACAAAGAAATAGTAGCCGTAAAAAAGGTACGCGAACCTCGTGAAACCGACATACGTCATCTGCGTAAACTCAATCATCCGAACGTCGTTAAATTCCGTGGAGTTTGCACTCAGGCCCCCTGCTACTGCATAGTAATGGAGTACTGTCCCTATGGGCCTCTTTACGACCTCCTGCGAGGAGGAGAAAAGGTCCCCCCACCTCGTCTCGTCTCGTGGTCTAAACAAATAGCAGCGGGAATGGCCTACCTGCACGCACACAAGATAATCCACCGAGATTTAAAAAGCCCCAACGTGTTGATCGGTCAGGGTGAGGTAGTGAAAATATCAGACTTCGGTACGAGCCGTGAGTGGAATGAAATCAGCACGAGAATGAGTTTCGCAGGGACTGTAGCCTGGATGGCACCAGAGATAATTCGAAATGAGCCATGCTCCGAGAAAGTAGACATTTGGTCCTACGGAGTGGTCTTATGGGAGCTCTTGAGCGGTGAAGTACCTTACAAAGATGTGGACTCATCAGCCATCATCTGGGGGGTTGGCAACAACTCCCTGCACCTTCCAATCCCAGCGAGCTGCCCCGAGGGCTATAAACTCTTGGTGCAACAATGCTGGGCAGCAAAACCCAGGAATCGACCCTCATTCAAACACATCGAGGTTCACCTTCAGATAGCAGCTGTCGAGGTCCTCTGTACCAAGTCCGAGGAGTACTTCAAGACCCAGCAGACATGGAAGGAGGAGATCAGAGTCCACATGAAGCAGATGCAGACTAACAGCTCCAATGGCTCCAGGTACGAGGCTGACTTGATCAGGCAGAGGGAGAGTGAACTGCGACATGCCCAGGACATCAGAGAGCACTACGAGCGTAAACTCGAGGTCACCAACAACCTTTACCTGGAACTGAGTGCGTTTTACCTTCAGATGGAGCAACGAGAACGTGATATAACGAAGAGAGAACAGCAGTCTGGTGGCAAACAGTACAGAAAACGTCTCGTGCATCCTCTCCTGCCGTTCAAGGAGAGATTACCCAAGAGGAGGAACAATCTGGTTCAGTCGAGCTCAACGACACCGACTACACCTCCATCTCCTCAGGATACACCCACAAGTCCCATGAAGGCAACCCTCTGCACCCAGTTGAATAATTCTAATCAGCCTGAGACTGTTGTACTTCCCAGTGCTAATTCAAACTCTAGCTTTAAACAGAAGAAGTACAGGCACAGGAGGGTGGGCTCGGGGGGGATAGCCTCGGCCAGTCCCAGGTCGAGTCCACACAGGGAGAGGAAGAGTGGGGAATTGAGTCTCAAGTACGTGGATCATCAGACCCAGACTGACATCACGAGCATCAGCGAGTCCATCGAGAGTCTTGGCATTTGTTGTCACTCGAAGGGAGTGCAGTACTCACCCCCCAGGTCCCTCCCCAAATCCGTTAATGGCAATTGTTTGGATGTTGTTGATAAGGGAATGTTCGAGGGCATGTGCTCTAGCCCTGAGGGATGTTCTATTGAGAATAGATCTAATGGGAACGAGAGGATCAAAGACAGCGATGATGAGCATCTTGAGACACTGGAGAGGAAAGTCTCGGAGATTATTAATGCTAATAGACTCCTGTCACCTGTGGACAATGGCAACTGCGACGACGTCACCATGCATGGGTAATTATTCATTGTTTTTTTCCGTGTTTTTATTAGTGTCTTTATTCGTTAGAAATAAATGCACTGGATATATTCATCACCCGCGTTTCTCGCTTCGTTTTTTATTTATTTGGGTCTTTTTTTTGTTTTGGTAGCTTACATTATGGTATGGGTAGGAATGGGGCGGTTGGCGGGACCAGTGATGAGGCCGAGCAGGAGGCAGCTTGTGGGGATGCTGAGGACGAGAATGATAATGGGATTGATAGGCTTGGGGAGAATGATAATGACGAGTTTGATATCGATTCTGAGGACGATGGGGGAGAGGAGGGGTGGTCTGATGAGGATGGAGATGCATCGGTCAGATATGGGTTTAATTATTCACTTAGAAGACGAAGGTGAGTGCACTGATGAATGATTTCACCCACAATTTTAAGGGGAAATTGTTGGCATTTAGTTGCATTTTGAGATGATGGTCAGAATTCGGCAAGTATTGTCTTGAATTTTTCAGTTATTTGGAAGTCATTTCAATGAATTTACCATTTCCTCAATCAATTTTTCAATATTTAAGCCATCATTGCACCTTTCACATCCTAATTCCTCTAAATTTTTAATATAATTTGAACATTGGTGGTGATAAATTCAATGTCACAATTAATTCAATTGATTTTGAATACAAGTTGTTAGAAATGATTGTTTTTGCCGTAATAATTTGGTTTTGTATATTTCAGTGCAACAAGAAGACCAATAGGGCCGGGCTGCAGGTTAAGAAGAATAAAGCAAAATCCATTGAGCAGTATCGATCGTGGTCTAGTGTCAGACGAGGAAAATACATCTGAATACTCCCACCCGCCTTCCAGCCATTCCTCGACGCTTGAGAGTAATCCAGACGTCCAGCGTGCTTACCGTCGAGCCACTCGAAATGCCAATAAAATGTCTGAAGCCCCTTACATGTACGTTAAACGATCAGGTGATCGAGAAATAGCTGTAAGCCCTTAAACACTAGTTATTATGTAATGAATGTTATTACTTGAGAAATTCCGGTAGCTGGACTATATTTTCAAAGATCCAGTTCATGATGGGGTGAAGGAGATATGAGATTAGATGAAGAGACATTGTCTTTCTGTACTTTAAAATGAAAGTATTAAGTTGTACATAGGTATTGGGTTAATTTCTATTTTGTACATAATGTTTTTCTCTTTGGTACAAGTGTAGCATTGTGTTCGAGGTTTACGTGTAGTTCGGTGATAGACGGGAGATGGTTTTTCATTGGCATTGAGGCGTATAAACAATCATCTGGGATTATAAATCTTGATAGTCTGATGAAAATTGAAATCCAGATATTGTTTATAAATCCTCGTGCTAAATGTCTCCGATATGAAATAAGTACAATTATGTGTGAATGACTGAATGTCTTTTTATTTGTTTTTCTCTCGTAAAGAATGCATGACTGTGAGGATGATGTTGACTCAAATTTTTCCTCGAGTGTTTGCTCATTATTTCTTTTTGTACAAAACAAGAAAAAAGAAATTAAAAGTAATCTATTCAATTGCGACTACGACAAGAGTGTACATAAATTATGAAGTTTTTTTCCTTGGATCTCATGAATTAATAACCTGGCAAAGGATTCTGGGGAATTTATAGGGGTCCTTTCGCTCAGGGGAAAGTAACAATGGAGGAATGATTATGGAAGGATCGTGCAATTATGGTTACTCATTTCAAAAGGAATAGTATTTATATATACACGCGTGCCGCCCAAAATTTATGATGTAGGATTAAATTATTAGAGACGAAATAACGGACGAATCAGTATCTATGCAATAATTGTAAAATTTTGTAGAATTGTATTGAACAATTGGCGAAATGATAGCTTTAAAAAAACTTCAGATCTAAAGATTTTTGATTTTCAGGAAAATGTTAGCAGCTGTGAGAATTAATCTCTCAAATCCAGTGTATTTAGATTATTGAATTATACTATTGACTATTTTATTCTGATGCACTAGAGTGCCTTAAATTCCAAAATAACCAACTTCTAAATGAAAAGTTTAACGAATTATTGTACCTGCGGCAGAGTCAACAAATTATTGCCTTAGAAATTTATATCTTTCGTATGATGTACAATTTTGACAATACAATAAATTCCCTTGATATTGTAACAACTGCACGACAGCCGAGAGAATGAACTCTGTACGAACAAGATTGAAAAATTGGCAGCTAAATTTCCACTGGTTCGTCTTGGAAATTCTTTTTTTTTTCATTGTTTCATGTAGCAGTACGAATAATTTAAGAGTAATGTATTTGAATAATTTAGCTCTAATAGTAAAGTTTCTTTACTCCTGATTTTCTTTTGGTTCATGATTATCCAGCCCCTCTGAACAATTTAATCCAGATGTCTGAAATTAACAAAATAAGCCTCTAAGAGTTGTCTTAGTAGTCATCTGTAGAAAGTACTGTAAACTCTCTCATTGAGTAACGCCGAGGACATTTAAAGTCTATTATATAATTACAACATTTGCATTTAATCGATTAAAAAATAACTCTCAACAGATTATTTCCCATTCATTGTCTCGTCCCAAATTGATCAAAAATGCGTGTTCATCAACACAGTCTTCAGGTATCATCCAATAACAACGAATTAACAATAATCCAGTTCATCAGCAAGAAAGCCCCTTCAACAGCTGCATATCTTAATACTGTTTTAATTTTTGAGACAAAAAAAAATCAATCAAAACTAGTTTAAATGGATAAAATGCTAGATGAACAGTCACAGGAACGAATGGAGATAAAATCACTAGCAGTCGGGGGACGAGGGCCATGATTTTTCTATGGGATGAGAGCCGTCGTTTTTGCTTCGAGCATAGAAACGACTGATCAAGATTCATCTTTGATATTCTTTTTGTGGATGTGCCATGGCTGCGATTCACCAGTAGAACGAATTGTGCAAAAATTCAGCGGTTGATTTGTAGAGAGTCGAGGCACTCTGTTTCAGGCCTGTTAGGAGGGACACCACACCCTCTTTCTGGTCCTCTTGGTTGTCCTCTTCCTCTGGCAAGTATTCGGGAAAATCGTTGGATTCTCCATTCTCTTCACTGGTCTGTAATTAATTGATTAATAAAAATAAAAATATACAATATAAATTCTTTGGGTTGTCATTCAGTCATCAAATGTGGGGAATAAAACAAATCCCTTCTACCCAAATTCTCAATACTTACCAGTTTAACTAAAAATTCTTGATTGTACTTATTTCTGGTAACTAATCTCGCTTCCATATTTTGAGTGTTTTCTTGAATTGCTTCAGCAATGGATCTAGCAGTAACATTAACTAAAGTTCTCATAGTGACCCTCTGATGTTCGACATCGAGAACAAGTGAAATAAGTCCCTCAATTCTAATGAGTGTAGCTTCCAGCTCTGCTCTAGTTTCCTACAAAAAAATCATGAAAAAAAAATCATAAAGAAGTGTCGTGAAAACCAACAATCTCATCCGAGCGCAGTCAATAAAAAAAGACTCACAGGTAACAAACCGCTGACGTGAAGCACAATAACATGAGTCTTGAGTTTCTTTGGTTCAATAACTCTCCTACATCGGCTCCTCAAATTATAAATAGGCGGTTTCATCCTCTCAATATCATCCTTGACACTCTGTGCATGTTTAGCTAATTTCGGTGTATCAATACAGTACTTGTTGATAACAGCCTCGAGTGCCTCTCGTACCCCAAAAGTCGAGGTTATGTGAACGTAATTTTCAACATTTTTTGTGAATATCTCGAGAATATCAAGTGCCAGCTCCACAATATCAGGATCAGGTACTTCGAGGACGTATGCGAGGTAAGATAGCACTGTCCTGTCCTGTAACATGATTATTTCCATAAAAAAACCCATTCGATAAAAAAAGAAATCAACATTAAGGATGTTGATTTTCATTTACAGTAAAATATTAGTTTCTTGAATAAGAAAAAATACTTTTTGGATACAAATAACAGTTTCATCAGTTAGAAATTCATTTTATTTGATTTATTTGATTTATTTGAGATGAATAAATTTATTAATTTCAAATTAGAATATTAATGAAATCAATAAAAAAATTAGAAATCCACGGTTTTATTTAATCTAAATATGTCATTGCTCTGGATGAAAACTTTATGATCGAGAAAAATCAGTTGCAGGCCCTTAACCCTACATAACCCCCTGCTAACACCTACAGGTCATGCAAATCATCCATTTTATTGCTGAATAAACAATTTACATTTGTGGGTTAGAGATGTGAAAAACAAAAAGAGAAACTACCATTCATTGGAAAGAATTCCAAATTCTTCAGAATGCTCCCGATTACGAACAAATATGGTCAATCACTCCCAAAAATCATTGATGTTTACATATGAAAATAAACCCTGACCTTTAAAATAGTGTCATGGTTGGTAAAATCATCGGCAAGCTTTCTGTACGTCTCCAGGGTGGCCAGGAGCTCCTTGGAGTCAGCTGGCTCCGCATACTCCATATTTACCTCACCAAGAGTCCCACAGACACATAAATCACACGCTACAACTATTTATCAAACTTATTTACGTAAAAATTATCAAGATTACGATAGCCTCTGTTCTCACTGTATTCTCACTTTTTCTACTGTTCTACACTTCTCCCCCCTCAACAGCTGGGGCAAAGCCAGGCAAGAAGAAAAATGCAAAAAACGAGAGGTAGCCCGCGGACATACAGCTAGCAGCCAAATAACCAATTTCAGGATGAAACCAATTCCAATCATTTGGGAACAATTTGGGATAGTTAAGAAATGTAATTTTGTGGTTTAGGAACTAACAATTTATTTATAATTAATAATAAATCCTTTTTATATGGCTTCCCTTGGAAAACCTAATGCGAAGGGGGGGGGGGCGTTAGTACTTCCGCAACTGTACACATTCACGGCTTTCCATAGATTTGTGAAAAATTGTGAAAAATGTGAGAGACCAACTGTATTTCTGGGTCGAGAAATAGCGTGGGCAGTATCCTATACGCGGGAAAATCCTTGCGCACATAAAAAAAATGGCCAACAAGTCCTGAGGCTTTGCCGTTCGTCTCCGGATTTTATTCGAAAATCAAGGGTAAAATCGTTGAAATAATTCTTAAAAATGCTCTGATTAGTTGACTACAATGGAGAACAATAATTTGATCATCAAATCAACGATTATTTCGATGAATTGCGCGTGTTGGAACGTAAAAATAAAAATTGCCGGGAGAGAATGGGAAAAATCTCTGCGCAACATCTCTGCGCACTTCAAAAATGGCCGACTAGTCTCGAGGCTTTGGTGTTCGTCTCCGGATTTTATTCGAAAATCAAGGGTAAAATCGTTGAAATAATTCTTAAAAATGCTCTGATTAGTTGACTACAATGGAGAACAATAATTTGATCATCAAATCAACGATTATTTCGATGAATTGCGCGTGTTGGAACGTAAAAATAAAAATTGCCGGGAGAGAATGGGAAAAATCTCTGCGCAACATCTCTGCGCACTTCAAAAATGGCCGACTAGTCTCGAGGCTTTGGTGTTCGTCTCCGGATTTTATACGAAATCAAGGGTAAAATCATTAAAATAATTGTTAAAAATGCTATAATTAGTTGACAACAATGGACAACAATAGTTTGGTCATGAAATCAACGATTATTCCGATGAATGCGGGTGTTGGAACGTAAAAACAAAAATTGCCAGGAGGGAATGGAAAAAATCTCTACGCAACATTTCTGCGCACAACAAAAATGGCCGACTAGTCTCGAGTCTTCGGCGTTCGTCTCCGGATTTTATCCGAAATCAAGGGTAAAATCATTAAAATAATACTTAAAAAAGCTGTAAATAGTTTAAATAATGAAGAATAATAATTTAATCATCAAATCAACTATTATTTCGATGAATTGCGGGTTTTAAAACAAAAACAGAATTACACATGAGAAAACAATAAAAACGTCTGCGCAACGTATTTGCGCAGATTCAAAGTAGCTGCCCTGATGTTCCTTGGCGATGACCGCGTATTGTTGAAGAAATTACTCGTAAAATGGCCGAAAATAATTAACAATCTGATAATTAATTAATTAATAATAATAATGGACCGTCACGGTACAAGGCAATGGTTGCATAGTTCGATAAATTACGAAATTTAAAACGATATGAACGTCTCGAATGGTGAACATATGAAATCTCCATGTGACCGACGTATTTGTGACACCACGAGATGACGCATGGAGGCAATTCTGGACAAATCCAGTGTTTGAACAGTTTTGATAGATTCAATGACTCTTTAAAAAATTCAAAACGTGATAAACCTAGTTGATGAATGAAATCAGTGGACACAGGAATTTATTAGAATGTTAGTGTTGTGAATTGTGATAATGTTTTCTTTTGTTAATCAAGTGATAAAGTGCTCTCGGGAATTTCTTTGTCGATGTGTATATAAATACGTAAGATGGGAGTTTCAGTTATGTTAGTGCGGTTTTTAATTTCGAAAGTGTTTCGTGCAAGTGATGTTCATGGGGACGAGCTTCTGGAGGCATTGGAGAGCATTTCGACGTCTAGATGAGGATTTCAACGCCCCGTGAGTCACTAAAATTTACAATTGAAAGTTGAAATTTTTCAACCGTCAATATCTCGAGAATGACTGGCGCGATTTCAACAAATTTTATTTCATTTCATCAAAGCACTGAAATGATTCTATTTTTTAATTTTCGAATTTTGCTTGGAAATGATGTAAAATGGTCTAAAACGTAAAAATCCGAAGTTTTACGGCCATGCGTGTATGAGCGACGGTCGACCTCTGGTAGTCAACTTTTAGAAAATCGAAGAATTAAAGGACCAACCAATTTCAAAATTTTTCAAATTTTGTCAGGATATAGGTATGAATAAGGAGTCTGTGCTAAGGTGCTGCCCAATCGGGCCAGCTGTTTTGGAGAAATCTTCATTCGTTTCTAAATCGTTTTTTGAAAATTTTTCGAAAACTGTCTGACCGATTTCAATAATTTTTTTCTTCAAAATATTCGTCTCAATGTCCTCTATTTTAATCGATCAAGATATGCATACCCGTTCAGGCAAAATTTCCAAGATATCGTAATTGTTCGGTTTTTTCGCTCAAAATGCTTGTGCGTACTCTAACCTTTGGAAAAATCGACATATTAACTTCTAATTTATCTTGTACAGGGTGTAGGAATTGGAAAAACGCAATTATGACCCGTCCATCTGCTTATACGGAACCCAAATTTCCTCAGGAATCGAATGGAATAAGTTTTAAGGCTCTATCTCTCATAGTTTCCGAGATAATCGCGAAAAACCAAAGTGCCAAAAAAAATTAATTNTTATTTCATTTCATCAAAGCACTGAAATGATTCTATTTTTTAATTTTCGAATTTTGCTTGGAAATGATGTAAAATGGTCTAAAACGTAAAAATCCGAAGTTTTACGGCCATGCGTGTATGAGCGACGGTCGACCTCTGGTAGTCAACTTTTAGAAAATCGAAGAATTAAAGGACCAACCAATTTCAAAATTTTTCAAATTTTGTCAGGATATAGGTATGAATAAGGAGTCTGTGCTAAGGTGCTGCCCAATCGGGCCAGCTGTTTTGGAGAAATCTTCATTCGTTTCTAAATCGTTTTTTGAAAATTTTTCGAAAACTGTCTGACCGATTTCAATAATTTTTTTCTTCAAAATATTCGTCTCAATGTCCTCTATTTTAATCGATCAAGATATGCATACCCGTTCAGGCAAAATTTCCAAGATATCGTAATTGTTCGGCTTTTCTCTCCAAATGCTTGTGCGTACTCTAACTTTTGGAAAAATCGACATATTAACTTCTAATNTCGCTCAAAATGCTTGTGCGTACTCTAACCTTTGGAAAAATCGACATATTAACTTCTAATTTATCTTGTACAGGGTGTAGGAATTGGAAAAACGCAATTCTAAGCCGTCCATCTGCGTATACGGAACCCAAATTTCCTCAGGAATGCAATGGAATAAGTTTAAAGGCTCTATCTCTCATAGGTTCCGAGATAATCGCGAAAAACGACAGTACCAAAAAAAATTAATGTAATCCATCTTGTATAGGGCCTAGGAAGTGGAAAAACGCAATTCTAAGCCGTCCATCTGCGTATACGGAACCCAAATTTCCTCAGGAATGCAATGGAATAAGTTTAAAGGCTCTATCTCTCATAGGTTCCGAGATAATCGCGAAAAACGACAGTACCAAAAAAAATTAATGTAATCCATCTTGTATAGGGCCTAGGAAGTGGAAAAACGCAATTCTAAGCCGTCCATCTGCGTATACGGAACCCAAATTTCCTCAGGAATGCAATGGAATAAGTTTAAAGGCTCTATCTCTCATAGGTTCCGAGATAATCGCGAAAAACGACAGTACCAAAAAAAATTAATGTAATCCATCTTGTATAGGGCCTAGGAAGTGGAAAAACGCAATTCTAAGCCGTCCATCTGCGTATACGGAACCCAAATTTCCTCAGGAATGCAATGGAATAAGTTTAAAGGCTCTATCTCTCATAGGTTCCGAGATAATCGCGAAAAACGACAGTACCAAAAAAAATTAATGTAATCCATCTTGTATAGGGCCTAGGAAGTGGAAAAACGCAATTCTAAGCCGTCCATCTGCGTATACGGAACCCAAATTTCCTCAGGAATGCAATGGAATAAGTTTAAAGGCTCTATCTCTCATAGGTTCCGAGATAATCGCGAAAAACGACAGTACCAAAAAAAATTAATGTAATCCATCTTGTATAGGGCCTAGGAAGTGGAAAAACGCAATTCTAAGCCGTCCATCTGCGTATACGGAACCCAAATTTCCTCAGGAATGCAATGGAATAAGTTTAAAGGCTCTATCTCTCATAGGTTCCGAGATAATCGCGAAAAACGACAGTACCAAAAAAAATTAATGTAATCCATCTTGTATAGGGCCTAGGAAGTGGAAAAACGCAATTCTAAGCCGTCCATCTGCGTATACGGAACCCAAATTTCCTCAGGAATGCAATGGAATAAGTTTAAAGGCTCTATCTCTCATAGGTTCCGAGATAATCGCGAAAAACGACAGTACCAAAAAAAATTAATGTAATCCATCTTGTATAGGGCCTAGGAAGTGGAAAAACGCAATTCTAAGCCGTCCATCTGCGTATACGGAACCCAAATTTCCTCAGGAATGCAATGGAATAAGTTTAAAGGCTCTATCTCTCATAGGTTCCGAGATAATCGCGAAAAACGACAGTACCAAAAAAAATTAATGTAATCCATCTTGTATAGGGCCTAGGAAGTGGAAAAACGCAATTCTAAGCCGTCCATCTGCGTATACGGAACCCAAATTTCCTCAGGAATGCAATGGAATAAGTTTAAAGGCTCTATCTCTCATAGGTTCCGAGATAATCGCGAAAAACGACAGTACCAAAAAAAATTAATGTAATCCATCTTGTATAGGGCCTAGGAAGTGGAAAAACGCAATTCTAAGCCGTCCATCTGCGTATACGGAACCCAAATTTCCTCAGGAATGCAATGGAATAAGTTTAAAGGCTCTATCTCTCATAGGTTCCGAGATAATCGCGAAAAACGACAGTACCAAAAAAAATTAATGTAATCCATCTTGTATAGGGCCTAGGAAGTGGAAAAACGCAATTCTAAGCCGTCCATCTGCGTATACGGAACCCAAATTTCCTCAGGAATGCAATGGAATAAGTTTAAAGGCTCTATCTCTCATAGGTTCCGAGATAATCGCGAAAAACGACAGTACCAAAAAAAATTAATGTAATCCATCTTGTATAGGGCCTAGGAAGTGGAAAAACGCAATTCTAAGCCGTCCATCTGCGTATACGGAACCCAAATTTCCTCAGGAATGCAATGGAATAAGTTTAAAGGCTCTATCTCTCATAGGTTCCGAGATAATCGCGAAAA